TTGGCCTGGTTCAGAACGACCCTTTCGAATTAAGCTTCGAAGGTTTGAATGGACCCAAGTAGCGATTGTCATGTTAACTGAAAACGATCAGTCAATCACCTTGCGTGGTTTTGTCGTTTGTATGTTAGTCCTTGTTTGTGTCCGAATATCTGGCAGGGAAGTCAATGGCACTATAGTTCCCTGGTCTTTTTTATTTATTTACAGAAAAAAACCTGCAGCGCCGAAAGCTTCGGCATTATAGCAGGTACAGCCCATGGATTAATACGCTCAATAAAATAAAAACAGAACACTTGAATATACAACCTGGGCTGTCAATAAAGAAAATACATAAATAGTGAACATAAACAACATTCAAAATCAAGACCATTTCCTAAGATAAATGGTCCCACGTCGTCACGACTTTAGTTATAGCTACTGCGAGAAAGTTTAAAATCGCTTCTTAAAAGTATCTTTTAACTGAACCATACTGTAAAGTAAAACTGAGGCTATAGCGAATCTACGTAATGCAAAAGGTCCTGCACCTACAGTTCGCATGCAAGCGAAAACAACCATTGTTCTTTTAGGAAAACACGTTCGTTTTACGTATAAAGAAACTTGACAGTGGCTGAAAACACCTTTTCTTTGTATTCATAATTTTGTCTTATGCTGATTCAAATGATAACAAAAATATCAGGAAAAATATACATTAAAACGGGCAACGTCTGTCGGCTAAAGCACAAACAATCGTCGCAAGGTACACGGCAAAAATGATTGTTCGCACTGCACGTGGAGGTAAAGAAAGAAAAATTATTATTTTCGCCGGAAAGGTCAAAAACAGAAAAATTCACATTGACACCGAGACAGCAATATTATATCTTATGCAACATTCATTCCTCCGGTGAACGTGTGCAGCAATATGTGTGAACATTATTATTTGTTTGTGGATAAAATAAAATGAAACAAATTAAAAATTTCCTACTCCAGCAGACTACTGCACAAACCATCCCAAAGTTCATAACAAAATCTTCGACATCTAGCTTCAAGATAAAGGAAAGCATTGCAATATTTTTGCTCCTTCCTGCCTACGCGTTCCTAAGAATCGTTTTGTTTAAAGACGTAATATTTTCACGTTTCACGCATTGCAAAGACTACTTCCATAAATTTTTGCGAGCAACACTGCGCGGTTTGTACTCTGCACTTTTAGAAAAAAGGGTCAGTATAGTCCTCCCTATAGGGAGGAACGTTCTTGTAACCTATGTTCCTTTAGAAAGGGAGAAACTTTCGTCCCTGAAGCAGGGGAGAAAAGTTCCTCCGTCGCTTGCATCTCAATATGGCGGCCCCGAATCGAGCAAATCGAGCCCAATAAGGCTTGATGAGGACGCTACGTCTCTTGTATGGGACGAGAGGAGCAGCAATAAAAATTATTCCCAGCATGTTGATGTTTTTCCAGCAATGTCATACCTCTGAGAATATTTTGAATGGCTCAGGGGATGAATCTCTTATTAAAAACCAAACGCTCTATCATGCCGTAATTATTTGAAAGCCATTAAATTAAGGCGCTCCAATGCGGTTCGAAGCCATGAGTTAGTTTCCCCGCACGGCATGTCGTAGCCTGTATTTCTATTGTAGTGTTTGTTTTTCTATTTGTGCTGTTCGCGCAAAGCTGCAATTGCCGTCTTGAATTAATCTCTGTAGAGCGGATATTCACTCAGCTGGAATTGATGGTTCACGGGCTGAGAAATCGCTTTTCGATCAACTTGAATGCAGTCAAAGCCGCGACTTGCGGCAGGTGAAAAGTGTACGGAGCTACGCCGAGGCAAGCCCGAAAACATAGCGCTCATCCCAGCGCGCCACTTGGAGGGCAGTTTCTCCACGAACCGTAGTATATTTAAACAGCAAAATAAAAGGTACCTTTTTTTTCGACTTTACCTACTATTGTTTTTAATGCTAAAATTCCACACTGTAAATATACGTTCTTTCCGTCACGATTTCGTACTGTTGTCCTTGCCCCAGAGACCAATCGCTCTCGGGGACGAGGCAACCGACAGTCACATTAGCCACTGTACGATAAGAGCTTATTCTGTTCAGACCCGCGTTCCTACATGACTACCCGCACGTTGATCGATTGCACGTAACCCCCCAAGTGGTATTAAACTTTTTAATGTAAAGCGAAATGTCCACCTGCGACAACCCGCCCCCTCCGATCACGGCCCGACCAGCGGCATCAATGCCCGACGGTTTACGATCTCATCTTGTTGTTAAACCACTGATACGCGAACACACGGTCACATCGGCGATAATTCCAATCTTATGTTCACAACCCAACACACTGCAATCACGATGTTGCAGCTACGTTGCTGACACGCACAAATACAGAGCCACGTTGAACGCCGGTTGCACTCCGCATCGGTAAACAGAACCGAACTCAACACGGAAGGCACCCAGGCAGCCGGCACCAAAACCTGCCTGTCTTGGACGCAGTTCCTGTGGTTTCCATAACGTCGAAAACGTCGACACAGTTCCGCGTGGTTTCGCCAGGTTTCGCTACTGCAGTTCCGTGCCGCGTGAGTCCCGCAATCCGGAGACGGACATCGTACGTGGCGCTGCTGGCACTGCTCCGGAACTTCGCTGTTTATAGAGACTTCGTTTGCTCGTTTGATAAAATTAGTGATAAAAACGTCAATGCAACCAATGCCGTTGGACCGTGTCGAGTGACAGAGCACGCGCGGCGAAACGTAGCAGTTTTTGTCCCTTTTGCGAAACCAATAAAGACCTTCGACATTGACTAATACGCGCCTTTTGACCGGTGACACCAGACATGATGCCAGTGGCAATTTTATTCTGCAGCTCTGTCGTCGAAATCCCGGTGACACACGCTTCCGAGGCAGCGCCTCCTGGGGCAATATAAAATTATGCTACCCCAACTCGAGCCAGTCTTCGACCTTTGCGACTGCAATCCTAGCCTTTTTCAAGAACTTAGAAATGATTCAAACTCGTAATTCGCAAAGTACGCGAAATATCTGACCGTGCAGCCTTGGGACTGGAATCAATGTCACATTACTTTTGCAGTCAAACAAGAAGCAAGAGTTCACCGATTGAAAATTATATAGGCCGGTTTTTAACATTTATTTCAGTACTTAACGGTTCTACTCTAAAAGGTTAAAATATTTCCGCAAGGAGGACAGTGCAGGCGTCGAGGCTTGCCAAGGCTGGGGCAGCGACGTTGGGCAGTGGCTGGTAGTGGGTGCCTCGTGATTGGAGGGAGTGCTCGATGTTTGTGGCCTCCGTCACGGATGCCACGACGGTCGCAGGTGAGTTTCGTACGAGGCCCCCGAAGGTGTTTTCCTTGATTCCTCGCATCAGGGTCTTGAACTTGTTCGCTTGCGGCACTTTGTGATCCGCTCCGTTGACTGGTCGGAGGGCGTCTTCGACGAAGCTGACGATGTTTTCATTCGGTCCTTGAATTCTGGCCTGGAGTAGGTATTTGTGGCGTTCCTGACGCTGCTGGCTTGCGAAGGCATAGGGTAGCTGCTCTTCAAACGTGTCCCAAGAGATATTGACGTTTCGCAGTTTTCAAACTAGAGACGACGGACCCTTCAATCCAGTGAGAAATCGAGGTTCTGGACGCTCTGCTCTAGTGTCCATCAGTTGTGACAATGCCACCCGTTCGCACTACTGTACCCAGTCGTCGACGTCTCCGTAAACTTCACCTCGGAAGGGCGTGGGCGCACGAGATACGACGGGTATGAACACGACGGGAGAAGCGGCAGCAAGGGTCTTGGTCGGCTAGCCCTGGGGAAATATCTCCGTGTTCGTCGACTTCTTTCTAGGCTGTTTTAACAATGGACAGAATTCCGGCGGCTGGCCTTGCTCGGGCTTCGTCTGGCTCCATAAAAGAAAGTTCTCCGGGGCTTGAAATCGATCTGGACCGGCAGCTCCTCGGAAGCGCACGCGGACGGGCATAAAAAGTTACCCCGCACCTCCACCAGAAATGTCGCGGATGGAAAATATTCGACAAGCGTAAAACTGAAAATATAGTTTTAATCGGCAAACTAGTGCCGGAAAGAAAAGAAAGAACGACCTTCAAGAACGCAGCAGCGAGCGCTGAAGGCGGCAGGTGATACCGTCGAAGTGTCGACATGAGAGCTGGCTCGTTCGGGCTAGCGCGAGGATGCGAGAGTCTGTCGTGGTCCTCAGGAGAGAGTTGGCAAGGCCACGCTTCTTCTTATCTATTAAACTCGCTATCTTGGACATTCCGTCTAGAATTTTCGAACATCAAAAACTTGGAACACTGACACGGCAAGGTCGGCTTCCTTGCTTTTTACACTAGGCATCTCGAGCATTTGAATATAACGTCAAATCATTTTGGTAAGGAGTAAATGCAAATATTCTAGAAGTACGGAGAAGCGTTCCCTCACGGCTACGCACGCGGCGATATATAAGAAATTAAGTTATTTATTTCAAGCGTCAAAGTCTACCCAGTGTACGCCTAGACTACGAACCCGAACCTGTATGTTTTACTGTACACGCAAAAACCTCAACTCTCGTGTTTCTATTAAAAAGAAAACATTTTGCGCCTGAATGCTTTGTGTGGTTGTCAAGAAAATAGTATCGTGGTGTTCAGGTTTCAATTTCGAATTGTTCAAAATTAAATAATAAAAACTTAATTATAAGCAATTGCCTTCGTTATCTCGTGTACCGTTTCACAATTTGAGAATAAAACGGCGCACTGATTATTTCGCGTAGAAAAGCAACCAGCAGAAACCAAGCGAAGTATCAAAGTACTCCACGTTAGCCGAAAACAACCCTCACAATGACCCTTCAGGAACCATTGCCAACGTCATAACTCGAAGTGAACAATGAATTATTTTTCTTCTCGTTTTACCAGACACATTCAGAAAACAGTGCCCATATGCGTCATCGCATTTGCGTCAATAATACAAAAAAATAATAAGCACAAACAACCCAATTGTTGGCGCAGCACTATATAAACGCGTACCGAAATTTGTATCGGCATAGTCGACATCTACCGTCCAAGATGAAGGCAACTCTCATAGCCATTTGCTTCCTCGCTGCAGTAGCGTTCTCTATGGGAGAATCCTGGGGTAAGCCCATGTTTTTTTATGTTTTATACTTTGGTTCTCAGTATATTAAGAACTTTTTTGCTCGCAGCTAACCTCCTTGACTTAAAGCAAACACACTGCGCTTCAGTGACATTTTTAATATGTCGCCTTTATTAGTGATTGCAGCAACAATTAATTCAGTCTTATTACGCCAAATCAAGTACGACTAGTCTTAGTCCGCTGCACTTTGTTTTTCCAAAATCTGCTTAAAGAGAATAAGTTTATTTCTTCCCACAAATATGAAATGTATACCCATAAAAAATACCCTATGTAATACTAGCCGCCATGTGGGCTCTTCGCGCCATCCCTCAGGAAATAAAAAAAATTCGTGACATCATCGCATTGCTGAGAGATGTTAATCTGCCGTCAGGTTTGAAGGTCTCGGTCACTACAGTGATGCAGACAGCTGGAGACCCTCCAATAACTTCGCAAAAGATTCTATGGCAGCAATTCAAATCTTCCAGAATAAAAGAGGCTGCGTTAGTCATCGAACGTCTAATTCTTCGGTCGAAAGTGCGCATCAGACGGAAGCACTTTGACGCGCAATGTTAAATTCACTGGCTGTGGATACTCTATAGTTCCAAGCACAGAATGACATGTGTAATTCCTAAATCTATCGACATTTGGTAGTACTTTGAATCAACGCAAGCTAGAGTAGATAAATTATTTACAAATGTATGTTTGATTTGAATATTGATCACAATATTGGTTTAAACATACCAATCATGTGTTAGGTGATTAAGGTTTAAATTAACCGCTGTATAGAACACCAAGATTTTCCGTATTGCTATATATTCCGTTATTTATATTTTGCTTCTTACGCACACAGGCGCCATGAATTGAAAAGATTTCGTGTAATTGTGGGTCACGCATTAAATATGAAATCACCTAGAAAACACAACACTAACCAAGAGCGAGTTTTATCTATATCATTACTGTGCAGGTACCAATGAATTAGGTGTTCCTACTGCTTTAAGAAGTCATCAATTTATATCAAATAATAAAAACTGGCATGTATCAAAAATCATGTTAACGCACGGTGAACGAATTTATGTTATCATGGTTTCTGGTCATTGCGGGTTATATATTTATTTAAATATTTTGGGACAAAGAATGTAAGCCGACTGGTTTAATTCTCGACGTAAGGAGTTTATTATAGCCTCGCTAGCATGACCTCATTATTACTTGTGGTTGCTCGATAACGGAGCAATTACAATTTGGTCGATCACAAAATAAGCTGTAATATAGTACGTGTTCACTTTACCAATATTTCACAATTTTCCGCGGATTACTGTCTTCTATATTTCATAAATTAAATATAAAATATATGTTGTTTTATATTCATTTTATATTGCGTGTGTGTGTTTCTGTACCCCCAGGAAGCACCACGCCCTGCACGAGTCCGCCAGGTAAGTTATGTTCAACAACAAATGCATGACGCTAAACAAAAACTTACACGTAACATAGCCGCCGCGCTGGCTCTTCATGACAAACCATCAGGCTAGGCACGAATTTCGACTTCATGTTTACGCAGGTTGACGTTGTTAGGCTTCAGTGTTCGGGGGTTTCGGTGACTATGTGACAATAGAAGAATGGGATTCCTAAACAACATACTGAAATGGTGAAAGAACAAAACACTAACAAGACCTGCGCTCTCGAAGAAACTGTTTGAAATAAAGCGCCTAAACGTTCCATTACCACTGTAAATCGGACTGAAACATTTTAGCTGCAATTCGAAGACACCAGATCAGTAGCGGATTCGAGAGGAAGAGGAAGAGGGAGGCGCCCGCGGGCGATGTTTTAATGGAGAGATGCAGGGGAACTAGAATTGAACGAGCCTTTTGCCATCCTGGCAATCCCTTAAGGGGTACACACCAAAGTCGGCCACGGATCGCCCCATTTGTAGCTCAAAGTCGTGCTTGCTTTAGGGTCTTTCTAAGCAATTTGTAATGCCTAGCTTACAGACTTATAGGAGAATCCTCAGAAACGCGCATACCAGCTCCAATATGACACATCGTGTGTCTAAAGGCAATTAGTAGTTTTTAAATGCTGATTTTGACTTCAACGTGTTGCACTTTCTGGCTGACGTGCACCGTTACTCCAAAAAAAAAGCGCATGATAATTCTATGTGCACATTTCTCAAGTATTCTGAATCCTTCAAATACCTTGGATATCTGTATAATGTAGATTCCATGGACTCTCAAATTTGGACGTAAGTTCAAATCAGATCTTTGCAGTGTTGTACGGAACGGCGTTCCTGGAACGCGTTCCTTTTAGGGGGAACGAAGGAACGCCGCCGTTCCATTTTCCATCACTGGAACTGGAACGGGAACGCGTTACATTTTTACTGGAACGGAAAGAGTAACGGCGTTCCTTTTTTCGTCCAGTGGGGTAATTTTTATTTTATTTCTAACAGGGAAAGATATGAAAGTACAAAAACATTATATTTACGAAGTGCAGGATCTCTTTAACTTTTTGGCTACCAATCTTATGGATTATTTTGTGTGGTCCTCGCGTGCTAACGGTTTCGGGTGCAGGAGAGCTGGTGGGCATTGATATATTTTTTAATGCCCGAAACTGCGGTACAAAAAGCAGAACTTTTAGTCGTAGGAAAAGACAAAGAAAGAGGGTTGTTTCAAACTCAGCTACTTTCTTTGGTTCCACGAATCCTCATACACCCAGAAATCTTATTCCGACTACAGCAATTTTTGAACTTCAATAACGAGACCTACAATTACAACAAGATCACAGATTGCCAAAACTCGGACTCACGCTTGTATCCCGAACACTATTCACTTAAAATATACACAAAGAATAACCTTTATTCCTTCTCTTGTCCCCCACCTTCAAACTGAACAACAAATCCAACCTTCACAACGAAGTATTTGTAGCTTTCAAGACTGACTTTCCAAAAGTCCTACCCTCTCCTTTACTTGCTCGTCTTGTGGACAGCAACATCGAGAAGCAACTGTTGTTAAGTTCTAACACGGGACTCTGTTAAATTGAAGCGTGTGAGGTTGTTGTAAAACGCTCGTGCTATCTTGGGTAAAAGTACATTTGGCTCGTCTGAGTTGTACACTACAGACATGGACATGGTTAATAGCTGAGATTTTTAACATGAATATATCAACAAATGAAACCCTATTTCCGCGTGTTTTCTACCCCTGGTGCCTTTCCATCACGACATACAAACTCGTATGTTGACTATTAGTGGGATAGATAAAAAAATAAAAAAACTCTGCTTGATTTAACTAAATATGGTAATTAGCAAAAAATACCAATGTAACATATATGTAACGATGCGTTCCATTTTTTTAACTAACGGGAACGAGTTCCGTTCTCACAGATGGAACTTGTAACGGGAACGCGTTCCAAAAATCAGAAGGAACGAGGAACGAGCTTTCGTTTCTTTTTTTGAGGAACGTGTATAACACTGGATCTTTGCCGCGAATGTGCGTTTTACTGTTCGAACTACCCTTGAAACGTCACAAATGAATGAAGTACTAAATCATCTCAAATATTTTGAATTTGAACGCTGGTGACATTAGTTATTTCAACCATGTACATTAAGTGATAAAAATTTATCTGTTTAAAGTTAATTATTGATTCCCTCAAACATATGTCGGTGGTGTTAATGACTGCGTAAAATACTGTACAATTCAGTATTTCAAAGTAAGTTTCTTACCTTTAATCACACATATTTCATCGGTGTAATGGTGGGCCATACATTAAATCTCAGACCACCTAAAGAAAAAACATAAACCAAGAACGGGTGCCTTATGTTTATATCACTCTGCAGATGTCACTGAATCAGAGTTCCCTACTGCTTTAGTATGTCGGCGATGTTTATTAAATAAGAAATTTTGGTTGTCGCCAAGATTGTACGTGACTGCAGGTTCAATGAATGACTGTTATGGTTTCTGGTCATTGCCATTTTTTTTTATCAAAAAGAAAACTTGGAAATAACAAAGTAAGCCGACGGCATAAAGGGGTCATTGCGACGAACAACTCCAAGTTGGGGAATCATAACAAATTTTATTTCAGAATTAAACGTGGCACCCTTATTAATACTTGTCGATATTCATTTGATTACCACATTTTTTAAAATTTTATACGTTTAAAAATGAACGTAATATTATTCTGTTTGACACTCTTATGTTTATGTTTTCATTCCCACAGGAGAGCCTTGCCCTCCCGGACAAGGTCCGCGAGGTGAGTTATGTTGAACACAAAACGTGTAACACCAGGTAAAAACGTATATCTAACATTAGCCGCCATGCCAGAGATTCGTGACAAAGCATCAGGCAAGTCAGCGTATTGTGACCCCATGTTTAAAGAGGTTGATGTCACTATACTTCCAGATTCGGAAGTTTTTTTTTTTTTTTTTTTTTTTTTTGTGCACTATTGTGAATTTAAAAGAGTGGGATTTTAAACTACATGCCGAAAGGGTAAAGGATTAGTGATGCGTCAGCATGAACTTAAAATAGACGTAGAAAGGACAGGACAATAGGTGAAACCTGACTAACAACTTCGCACATGTACTTTGCCCTTACCTTGTGCAATCGCATATTTTTACAAGCCGCTTAAATCCACATAAATTGGCAATTAGTTAAAAAAATATTGACACAAGAAAAAAGAAAATTTACCGTTCCCCCTTGTTCTCACGAGTTATCTGGGTGTTGCACGCCGCAAATAATGTTTTTCTTTGGTGTGGATAGTGATGAAGGATAAAGCGAACACGACCTTTGAAATTCAAACAGTGTTGTAATCGAGCGTATAATGTTTCGATCAACACTTTAAATTGTGTTGAGCCAATTTGAGCTGTATGTAACACAAAAATGCACCGCCTGCGCGTGCCCCCAAATCAGAGAATATAATAAATGCATCACCCACGAAATAGACTTTTTTTAAAGAGCGTTTCAAATAAATAAGTATTAAGTTATTCCTTCATGATAGTGTTATTGACCACGGCGGAATCCCCGCTACCAGTGTAAAGCGATAATTGGAAAATGAATTACCTAGATTTCACTAACTTCTTAAAAGTTCGCCTTAGCTGGTGCATTCTCGTAAAAAGATGTGTTGCCCGTCTTCAAGATATGCTCAAACTAAGCACTGCTACGCACCATTCTTTGACAAACTAAAGCCGCGAGGAGATGTGATACCGAAATTAAACGCAGCAGAAAAGCGGCGCAAGTTCCACCCGGAAGCAAAGTTGGTGATTAAGTAATCACAATTCAACAACGGCTGTAATAAATTTTTACAACTGGTAGCCAACTTTAAGTTCAAATGTGCCAGTTCATATGCCCAGAGGTAATCAGTAGATTTTGGGTAATTATTTTGTGCATTATCATTTTATGCTTCACGCCTGGCTTCCACCTTGGCAGAGGAAGTCACCCTTAAAAAAGTATTTACTTACTTTAAATGCGTTTTTATTTTAGCTTTCTGAGTAAAAGAAATACTCTTTATATCTCTATCCTGTTGAGTCCATGGCCACTCAAATGCGGAAGTTCGAGTAATAGCTCCATATCTATCAGCGTTTTAGCTGTTTGTAGTTTTTCTCAATTATGGTTACCCTTGAAAACAACATTACTAAATACATTTAAATATGTATTTAAACTCTCATGACATACATTTTGGCCTTATCCATCTAGTATTGAAAGATCTCGAGGTAATGTTAACCACTCCAATAAAATACGCCATTTTTTCCTAGTTTCAACGATCGAGTAAACGTTCCCATTAACCGATATAACGTACTTTATATCCTTGCAAAAAACTTTAGATTTAACAACATTTACTTCAGTGGTATACTCGCGAGTGTACATAAAGTGTGAAATGATCTACCCGAAAGAAGCAGAACACAGATAGTGTTAAAACTCTCGTACCACTCTACTTTTATCAGTGTACTACATCAGTATGTCTTCAATGTAATATAAAATGATGAATAACTAGAATAAAACAGGCATCACCTGTGAACCGAAGCTGAATGTATTAATTTTTTCGTGGTTTCTGGTCATGTTGATAAACATGACCAGATTGTCCTGTTGATAAACCCCGAGTTAGGTGATTATCATGATATTTACGGCAAAGTCCAATAGTTAGCAACATTGTACTCCTTAACATTTTTCGTACATTAGCTAAAAACCTTGTGTGCATGTTTCTGTATCCATAGGACCCTCCTCAAGCCCTCGGCCCTACCGTAAGTAAAATTCAATTCTGGCCCAGCAATGAACGAGAGCTGAGAGTGATATTGGCCACCATGTCGGCTGTTTTTGACCGTACGTCAGGAAAGCCAACAATTTGTGAAGTGATGTTTCTGCAGAACGATTCAGAGAGGCTGAAGTAGTAATCGAATGTCTAATTTTTCACTCTACAATAGAAATCATGCTGAAATGTTTATAGTAAAAATGCAAAATTCTGGTTTGGGGATGCCCCAGATGCAAGCGAAGTACAACGTGTTCACTTCATTTTACCACAAGTGTGCAAGTACAGTTCGAGCTGGAGCTTCGTAGCTGTTCTGTCTTTCAGCCTTAAAGCACCGCAAGCCACCGTAGTTTTAAATCTAGAAAAAGCCGAACCATCGCAAATAATGTGTCGTATTAAAATGTCAAAATGATTTATTCATTCAAATATATCAGTCAAGGTTTGAAACATTTGAGGTTAATCATCACCACTCCCTATATTAATACGCATTTATATATTTCTAATATATCTAATCAATCGCTTGTTTTGTACGCATCGCTGTAGGCATCTTTAATTAAACCGCACATTTTCATTGTCGAGTGCACATTGCATATTAAACCACCAACAGCAAAAGCACAAACCTCTAGAGGGTCCACAATTCTTGAACTAGTTTACACGGCTGCTAATGGACTCAACGCGCTTAACTCTCAAATATAGTGTGAATGTACATCAAATGATAAAACAAATTATATAGAGCAAATATTGCTCGTAAATAAACACATAGTAGGGCCAGGCAGGCCCTCTGGTCACTTCCAGTTGTGTATTTACTAAAAGAAAACTGTAATGAAGAAAACCTTAACCTGCGGCTCAATAGAATCTATAACCAGAGTGAACAATAAATAAATAATTTTAATTCAACAACAGCTGTACTATATTTGACAACCGGCAGAAAACGTCAAGTTCAAATGTGCCAGTTCATATGGCCAAAGGAAATAAGTAGATAATAAGTAAATATTTTTGCGCTGTAGTTTTATCCTTTATGTCTGGCGTCCACCTTGGCAAAGTACGTTATTTTCAAGGAAGCATTTGCTTACAGTAGATGTTTTTCTTAATCATTCTGACCAGAAGAAATACTCTATATATCTGTATCCTGTTGACTCCATGGCCACTCAAATGCGGGAGTTCGAGTAATAGCTTTGTAGCGATCAGCTTTTTAGCTATTTGTAGCCTTTCACGATTAGAGCTACCCTTCAAAACAACATTACTCAATCCTTTCAAATAAGTATTTTTAACTTCGATGACATACATTTTGGCACTATGAATGTAGTATTGAAAGATAGGCGAAAGTTAACCGCTCCAAAAGATTCATTTTTTTGCTATTTTCAACGATCAAGTAAATGTTCTTATTAATCGATATAAGGTGCTTTATTCGCGCCTTACAAAAACCTTGTATTTAACTACGCTTACTTCAGTGGTATACTCGCGAGTGTAGATGAAATGTGAAATGACAAACCTAAAAATGCAGCAACACAGATCGTGTGTAAAACTCTCGTACTAGTCTGCTTGTATCATTGTACTACATCAATGTCTTCAATATAATATCAAATGATGAAAAACTAGCCTAAAACAGGCATCATTTGTGGACCGAAGCTTAATGTATTAATTTGTACAAGGTTTCTGCTCATGTTGATAAACATGACCAGAATGTCTTGTTGATACGCCGGAAGGTTGCACGTCTTTGCTCAATCCATAAACTTTTCCACTATCATCCCACTGTTCGAAGTTCATTCCTGCGCACTCCCGCACGGTCGTCTCGTCGCCTCAATAACTCCTACAATTTTCAACGTATATCGGGTTCCAGTAATGCCTTTAACAAATCATTTCTCCCACTCAAGATTGTGAACTGGAACAATGTTCCAGAATCGCTCATTACAATAACTGACCCTGTGGTTTTCAAAAGCTCCATCATGTATTTTTCAACACCAAATTAGGTATTTCTAGCTACATTGCATGAGTGTGCGTTGTTATGTATTTTATATGTTTTTTTTTTCTTTTAGAATTTCTTGTGTTGCCCTCCTTATGTAATGCCCTCGAAAGGGGACCCTTAAGGATTAATAAATGAAATAAAATAAACAACTCCAAGTTAGGTGATCATCGTGATATTTATGACAAAGCCAATAGTTAGCAACACTGCACTCATTGACATTTTTAGACATTAGTTAAAACCTTGTCTGTGTATGTTTGTGTATCCACAGCGCCTGGCCCAGGCTCTGCGCCCAGCCCACAACCCCCGCGTAAGTAAATTTCAATTAATGCCCAGCGATAAACGAAAGCTGAGTGTGATATTAGTCGCCATATCGGCTGTTTTTTACCCTACATCAGGAAAGCCAACAATTAGTGAGGTGATATTTGCGTAGAACGATTCAGAGGGGCTGAAATAGGAATCGGATATCTGATTTTGCGCTCTACACTGGAAATGAAGCTGAAACGTTTATAGTAATAATGCAAAACCCTAGTCTGCGGATGCCCCAGATTCAAACGAACTACATCATGTTGACTGCATTGAGCCCGAAAAGTGTGCAAGTGTAGTTCGAGTCGGAGATTTATAGCTGCTCTGTCTTTCACCCTTAAAGCGCCGCAAGTCAGAGTAGTTGTAAATCTAGAAAAATCTGAACCATGGCAAATATATGAAACTCAAAACTATTTATTCATTCAAACATATCAGTCAAGGATTAAAAAATGTGAGGTTATAGGGAGTTCACCACTCCCAATAGTAATACGCATTTATCTATTGCTAATATTGCTGATGAATCGCTTGCTTTGTGCGCAGCGCAGTAGGCATCTTTCATTAAGCCACACATTTTCATTGTCGGGTTCACATTGCATATTAAATCGCCTACAGGAAAAGCACAAACCTTTTCAGAGTCTACAATTTTTGAACTAGTGTACACGGTTGCTAGTGGACTCAACGCGCCTAACTCTCGAATTGATCGTGAATGTACATCAAATAATAATTTTAAAAAAAATGCATCGACCAAATATTGCTTGTAAATAAACACATAATAGGGTGAGGTAGTCCGTTCAGTTCAAGTTGTGTACTTGCTAAAAGAAAAATACATTGAAGAAAAAATTAACCTGCTGCTCAATAGACGCTATAAGATCATTTTCGCGATGAACCCAAAGTAATATGGTCTTTCAAGGTTAATTGCAAACTTAATTTGACTTACTCGCGAATATTTATCAGTATGACTAAGATTGTCATTCTACCTTTTTGTAGAAAGCTATTAACAAACATAATTAGAACAAATGCTGCTTATACTGATTTGCACTCGTATATCTGTTTACTTTCTCACAGAAGACAACAGCCCGCCCGGCAGAAGTAAGTAACGGACTCGAGCCAACGCCTAGCGCTTAAGAAAACCGCCCATTTGTTCCTAGAGTTACGGACAGAATGAGAAGCCTGACCTTCCTACCTTCAATCACACTTCGGCGTCTCCTGCGCTTGGAGCGTGCATGTGGAGCGAAAGAACGGCGAAAGGCAATGAGCACTTGCTGGAGACCGGGCCTTCGGAAGACATGGCCTGCTTGGCAGTGGCTAACTATAACTATAGCTGTTAACTATAGCCACTACTTGGCAGTGACTATAGTTAACATGTGGGATGTGTATGACCGTGATTCAGGCCAAAAAAAAAAGGTATATTGTTACGTTTATACGAATTGAATGTATTTTAAATATGGTTCGAGAGTTTTGAACTGCGACTCCGTGGGGAATCTATTTGGACAATATATGGTTCCCTGCCATGCTGGGGATTTTTACGAACATCACCAAGTTATATATCAAAACAAAATAGTAGCTCGCCCTTCCAGTTTTGATGAGACTGCGATGGCGTTCGGATACCTAATTGTTCGGTTTTCACTGAAATCAGCTTCAAATCTTCTAAATTGTAATATAATAACTCCGGCCTAGGGGCGGCTCAAGACACAGTCGCGGTAGTGCATGCCGTGTTCAGTAAGCAATCGATATGTAGGAGTACGTTTGAGGAATTGTTTCTTACTGTTATCGTTGTGTATTAAAGTGCGCATATAAGTACAGAACATACTTGCAAAAAAGCAATCCAGACTTTAATATGTAATCGTTATATGTTAAATTCCGTATTTTCGGGTAAATGTAAGATCGGAAAAACACTAGCCGGTAAAAGTTGTGCCAATTTAGGTTTATCCGAAAAATACCTAATTTTGAGGTACCGAAGGCAAAAAAAAGAAGAAAGTGCTTTACAACTGAATTTTGTAATGGCACATGGTAAGTGATTCTGGAAAGAGGCCACATTAGCTTCCTTTCATATCTTCAATTACTGAAAAAAAGCGGGCTTGCCTCTTCTCTCGTCAGGATTCATTCAGGTCCTCGTTGTCACGACAAGTGACATTATCTAGTCTTACAGTTTCGAACCTACCTATCAGTGCTTCTTGAAGGAGGGAGCGTTTCAATAGCAGAAAAAGCTAGGAATTAACCCATAGCTTTCAATGGAGGGGGATGGCAAATCACGACTGCGTCCAGGAGTTTAGTTTTTTCAATGTATCGAAAGTTATTAGGCAACGCATCACTGCGATATTTGTCGTGTGACAGTTAGAATTCCCGATGACAAGGGCAGTAGTGCAAAATGCAGCTGCAGAGATATCATTCGAGACAAGTGCGTCCTGATAAACTTAGCGTACATTTGTTTCTGCATTATTTCTTTTGTATTTGTGTTCCGAGAAACTGAAAACAAAGTAAAATGGCAGAAAGACAGAAGGAATAAACCCTGAAGAAAAAGGGACTACGGACACTTTTTCCATTTTGAAAGAAGTGTCGGTCGCCCTTTGGTCTTAAGTGTGTTACTCTATCTGCCGTCTTTGCCCAAAAATCAACACGCTCCCAAGTTTATAAAATAAAATAAACTTCAAATTAAAAAATATAAGCCTAACAGAAAAAGCTTCGATAAACTCAAATTTTCAGCGAAAAATAAACTGAAAAACACCCTAAGAATATCACTCGAAAGAAACTCCGAAAACACGGAATTCTAGTTATGTTATGACGCGAACGTTTTTAGATCGTCAAGTATTCTAATGCAGTGTTTAGACACATAAGGCCCAACCATTTCCGCAAATACGATCCTTTCCAGTGCCGTTATTTTCGCTAATTCGTTGTTTTTCATCTCCAAGTACTTCTTCTTCTTCCATCAGTCTAAACCTGGTATGCGCCTTAAAGGGACGATGCATCAGTTTTAACATTGAGAGAATATGCAGTTTTAAATGGTTACATCTTTTATCTCACCAAAAGGAATAGACAAACCGCCTCATGCATTTGAACTATCGCGATTCTGTCGTGTAATAGCAAAGAAAAAGAACTGGAATATTTTGCACCTTCAAACCGCGGTGTGGCGGCCATGGGAACAAAAGCATGAGGCACAGTGGGTATAATGTATTTGGTTGGCAAGATGTCTCATCATGGTGGTTAATCTAATGCTATATTCGATAAATATTGTTGTTTCAACATGAGTAATTGTGCCAAGGACATCATGTTGACAAAGTTGTACTAAAGTTGTACCTCGTACAACTTTAGTATAAGACATCATATTGACAAAGTTGTACTAAAGTTGTCCCTTGTGATTCGATCTACACGGCTCATGCGTTGAAAAGCAGAACTACGCTTTGTTTAACACTTACTTGAAGCAAGACGAATGCTACGGACGCGGGGCCGAAGCCATGGGAGGCGCCAATGCAGCGCACGCGCACTGGATTCAACTGTTAAGAGCTCGTGCCTTGCCCGTGCTCTGTGCGGTTAGTGGGGATGCTTTATCTCCACCCGCATTGGGGACAAATGAAATCACCACGTGCCTCTAGGGAACCATGCATAAAGAAAATCACGCTTCCACACAGTTCAATCTGAGTCTCGAGGTGAATATTCAGCTTTAGTGGCGCCATCTGCCCGAGGAGAGAAAAAAAGAAAAAGCTACGCCTCCCTTGAGCCTCACCTCGTTGTGCTACTTCGTCAGCCAAACTTCTTTATGAAAAGGGAAGATCTTTGATCCCCACCGTCCGGTCCTCTCTCTCCCCCTCTTCATATTGCTCGGACCAACTTTCAAGGTCGCCGTGCGAATCGCCAACACAGGCCGCGCGCCCTAGAGGCTCTGAAAGAGAACCCAACCGGATGCTCCCTATTCTCATTGCGCGTCACTGCTCACGTGACTCGAAAGACAATGTAATAGTTGAGAGTGGTTTGGAGGCGCCCGAAAGGTTAATTAATTTCTAAAGAAATAACACGCGTACGCAAAATCTGTTTTCGGTTTTTAATCCAGACGTTAAAGGCAAGAACTACCACAATTATTTGCCCAAGGTCGAAACATTTATCAACAAGAGTAAATTACTTTGCGTAATGCATTTATATTTATCGCATCAATACAAACGTTTTCTTTTTTTCTTTTTAATTCTGCGCGGTTAATGGCGTGTGCTGATTTATCCGAGGCCCGTAATTAGTTCCTAGGACGCGACTCTCGAAGATTCGGCGCTGCGTACACTCTATATAATATATTTTATGCTTAATTGATCAAGCGGGGTTAATGAATAATTGTAAATTTTAAGTGATGCCGCATACATTTTCGCAAGCCTCCAACAGAAATATTTTATTTTTCATTGCCGTATGCTTCAACTTTTCTTTTGTGCGTAATACGACGCATTACCTGCGAATCAAATATACCTTTTCCTAAAGTACTGAAGCCCCAAGGAGCATGCTGCGAGTGTAGTTACAGTGGCTGCACGTGCTGGCGTCTGCAGTGGTAGTAACTAAGGCAAAGGCCCGAAACAAATTTTGTCTTGCACGCGCGTTCGCCAATGCCTTGCTTTTGGTTATTTACTTCGCATCGTTTATGCGGAGAAGGCGAAAGTGTGCGGTACACAGACCTACATTCCCACGATTCTCATTGATGCATGGGTTCTAATTTTGCAAAAGGTATTTTGCTTTGTTCTGCAACACAAACAATTTATTCAGATTGGTACGTGTCGTAGCTCCCCAAACGAGGCGATAGTAGAATAAACGGGAATATAATAATTCGTTATAAATTACAAGTTTGGCACTAGATGGCAGAATATTGCGATGCTTGTATAGAACACCTGTGATATTCGCGAGCTTAAAAGCAAGCTTTTAAATATAAAAGTCCGATGACATACGTTCGTGAAAAATCACGAATAAAAGTCTTAACAGAAGTTACGAATTCAACTTTAGAGAAGTTCAATATTTCTGCCGCGTTGGCATTGCACACTCTGTCTTTTGGACTATAAACCGCTGCTTTTCTTTTAACTTCATTAATTAAAAACATAAAGGCAGTTCACCTGTCAAAGGCTTGTAAAAAATGTTAGCAGCCGAAACTAGCCTATCAATATTATTATTTGAGAAAAGACTCGTGTCGTCAGTGTACATGATAAATAAGGTGTTATTTGCAGTGGTGACTACATAATTAAAAAACAGTTTAAAAGGGAATGGTCATAATTTTAGCCTGGTTATCTGAGAGCTGGTGATTGATCGAGTATGAAGCTGGACTATATTTTTAAACCTAAATCAATGTTTTTCTTTCAGAGTAAGGTCTCGGCGGATTCCTCCAGAGACATGCAATGGGGGATGGAATATTTCCGATACGCTCGAAATTTTCTGAATAAAACTGTGCATTATGAGACCGATCTTTCAGTGCATTTTTCTTTCTTTTGACGTTACTTTGTGTGCGAAATTTTCCATGTGGATATTTTTAAAATGTTTTAATACTATTGGTATTTTAGAGTATCACTATCACCAAAATCATTAATTTTCTCGTTAATTTACCCGTAAGACACGCCTGCTGGGTAGCCAGCTATATTTATAAACTCGGATTAGTTTCGCTTTTTTGAGATTACGGTTTCCCAATTACGATCACTGTCTTCGCTTTTGCCAAAAACCGGACGAATATGTTTAAAAAATCGATAATAAACATGATTATAACCTGTTCTTGAACATTTTTACACTATATTACTTCAGCATAAAGCTCTTTTTTATAGATTGACACCATGGAAATAAAATGCGAGCCTGGAAAAGAACTTTAGCTGAAAAGAAACAAGTGCAACATACAGACTAACTCTTGCGTATCAGTTAGCATCCCCATGGAGTACGCTACTTCGGCGAAGACGCAAAGGGCCGCAACAGTTGCCTTATGTTGCACATCGCACGTCAAAGATATCGCTACCAATCTTGAGAAGAGTATAACCAGGCTATATATTTTGCACCCTTAAATGTGTAAGAACGTTTTAGTGTGACTGCATTCCTCGTTAGTCGAACTACGTGTACCTATTCGGTAAGTTTATTTCGAGTACTATATCCTTCTTTCGGACACTATGGGGTATTGTTGCATAAAACTCCCTCAACATTTGAGGGTTTCAAAGAGGGTGTATGGGGTGTAGGGTAAGGCGGGGCAAAACGAGAAGCGGGTTAAATAGGCGACAGTTTGTGTTGAGCGCCATCCACCTTGTAGACGAGCAATTAGAGTACGTTCAAACTTCACCAAAAGGTGCCGTGAGCTATAAACTTCACATGTGTAATAATTAAACGCTATTTCCTTGAGTTTTCTAAAAAAAATTAATGTCACAACTCAGACTGCGTTTTTCGGTCTAAACATATATGTTTCGGCATCGTCATTCGCTGAGTTGCCCCCGTAAGTTGCGGTGATTGGCTCTCCAAGTGTTGTGCGGGAAAGCAGACGCACGGACTTTTTTTAGAGTGTACTTTTATCATTATTGTGTTACTGGAAAAATCAGCATAAAGCTGCTAACGTAATCAAACGAAGAGACAACAGCAAAAGTATGCAAAAGCATTCTCAAAGCACCAGGGCTTTCCCCAGAAATTAAAATTAAACGCGGTCTAAATTTCTTCTTTTTTTTTTTTTTGAAAAGGGGGGAAGGGGGGGGGGGGGGGGTCAGTGCCGTAACTAGATATGACGGCGCCCATGGCAAATTAAATTTAGCTCCCTCATGATGATAGTGATAATGACATCATCATCATCATCATATTATTATTATGGGTAGACTCGGCTCGGCGCCCCCTCCCAAGTGGCGCCCGGGGAAGTTGTACCCCCTGCCCCCCCTAGTTACGCCAATAGGGGGGGGGGGGGGGTTAGGGGGGCACTAAGAATAGAGGAGTTGTTGCGAATTAAGGGGGTGCCTTTAGAAAAATAAGAGAGTTGCACCCCCCCCCCCTCCCTCCTCACGGGGTGTGTATAGGGAAATGACTGCAAAGCACTTATTCCTCTAAGCCCAAGAATGGTCGCACAAAAGCGCTTCCTGGCAACCTCTTGTCACTGCAGACATCGATCGCGCGATGAAGCGTAAAAGACTGCGAGCCCAGCAAACAAAATTAAAACCGCCCACTTTCTTCGCAAACGGACCGTGAATCAGTGCTGTTCACGTTCCTCAAAAAAAAAGAAAAAAAGATGGAACGGTAGCAAGTTCCTCGTTCCTTCTGATTTTTAGAACGCGTTCCCATTACAAGTTCCATATGTGAAAAAGAAACTCGTTCCCGTTACAGTTAAAAAATCGAACGTATCGTTACATATACGTTACATTTGTATTTTGCTGATTATCATATCTATTTTAATCGAGGAAGCTTTTTTTATCCCTCAAGTAGGAACATACAAATTTGAATGCCGTGATGGAGGAGTACCAGGAGGAGAAAACAAGCTGGAGCAAGGTTTCATTTGTTGGTATATTCATCCTTAAGAATACCACGTTTCAACCCTATTCATGTTTGTGGTGGATGATCCTGACGAGCCAAATACACTGTTACCTTACAGTGCATGACCTTTATGGACCCTTCCTTTATGAACAACTTGAATCCTAGCCTCTATTTTGGGATAAGAAGATCAGACTTTCCCCTCGTCGCTTTATCACACTAAAAAAAAAAAAAGGCCCGTGCGTCTACTTTCCCGCACAACACTCGGAGAGCCAATCACTGCAACTTACGGAAGCAGCTCAGCGAATGACAATGCGGAAACATATGTTTAGACCAAAAAACGCAGTCTGAGTTGTGACATTAAGCAATGCAAGCGTGACGTTTTGCATTGCTTAATGTCACAACTCAGACTGCGTTTTTCTTGGTCTCAACGTATGTTTCGGCAGCGTCATTCGCTGAGCTGCCTCCGTAAGTTGCGGTGATTGGCTCTCCGCGTGTTGTGCAGGAAAGCAGATGTACGGGATTTTTTTAGAGTGAATTTGCAACATGAATACGCACACTTTATTTTAGTATGTCCTTTTTATTCCAACATGACGGTATACGCCAACACGTACATCTCGAGTTAGAGCAGTTTTGGGTAGCTACCCAATGCCGGTCTAATCTTCCTCTGCCGAGCGTCACGTCAGCATCGAGTTGCCATTGTCTACTAACAGGAGGAGGAGGGGAGAGGAGGAAAATACCCTCCAGTCCGTACCCTGCCCTCCTCCTCCTCAAGAGCTGCGCTCTAATTTCGCATTACAGATATTTAAAAATATCTTTAGTTTTTATTTTATTTTTCATGCTTAAACATGTTATTAGCCCTGTCCCTTTGTAGATCACAGCGATCAACTCTGGCAAATGTTTTTTTTCTTTCGGTATAGCAGACGCTCGGGATTTTCTTTTGGAGTGGTTCACACAGAAAAAGAGTGCACCCATTGCTCTCGCTTGGGGAAACGATATTCACAGATGTCACTCCTCCTCGCCAGCTAAGCGTGCAAAAGTCTTAAAACGTACTTTCTATACGTTTGTGCGGATAGATTCAATGACTTTCGTATTGACTGCTTATAATCACTTACTTTTAGAGCGCAGCTCTTAGGCGCCCGTTCCCGGCTTGAGCGGCGCCGCCGTCGCCGTCGCCGTCGGCGTAACCGCGCGGTGCATAATGGGTAAATTTCCCCGCTAAATCTAGCGGAAAAATTTCCCCGCTAAATCTAGTGGAAAAATTTCCCCGCTAAATCTAGCGGAAAAATTTCCCCGCTAAATCTAGCGGAAAAATTTCCCCGCTAAATCTAGCGGAAAAATTTCACAGCGCCGTGTGTGTCTACCGCCTTCTACTCTGTCCTTGTCCTTGCGCTCCTCGTTTTCCGCTAATATGAATGACCAACCAGCCCAATCGTCAACACTACTGAACTCCCCCGCTAGATTTAGCGGAAAAATTTCCCCGCTAAATCTATCGGAAAAATTTCCCCGCTAAATCTAGCGGAAAAATTTCCCCGCTAAATCTAGCGGAAAAATTTCCCCGCTAAATCTAGCGGAAAAATTTCCCCGCTAAATCTAGCGGAAAAATTTCACAGCGCCGTGTGTGTCTACCGCCTTCTACTCTGTCCTTGTCCTTGCGCTCCTCGTTTTCCGCTAATATGAATGACCAACCAGCCCAATCGTCAACACTACTGAACTCCCCCGCTAGATTTAGCGGAAAAATTTCCCCGCTAAATCTATCGGAAAAATTTCCCCGCTAAATCTAGCGGAAAAATTTCCCCGCTAAATCTACCCGAAAAATTTCCCCGCTAAATCTAGCGGAAAAATTTCCCCGCTAAATCTAGCGGAAAAATTTCACAGCGCCGTGTGTGTCTACCGCCTTCTACTCTGTCCTTGTCCTTGCGCTCCTCGTTTTCCGCTAATATGAATGACCAACCAGCCCAATCGTCAACACTACTGAACTCCCCCGCTAGATTTAGCGGAAAAATTTCCCCGCTAAATCTATCGGAAAAATTTCCCCGCTAAATCTAGTGGAAAAATTTCCCCGCTAAATCTAGCGGAAAAATTTCCCCGCTAAATCTAGCGGAAAAATTTCCCCGCTAAATCTAGCGGAAAAATTTCACAGCGCCGTGTGTGTCTACCGCCTTCTACTCTGTCCTTGTCCTTGCGCTCCTCGTTTTCCGCTAATATGAATGACCAACCAGCCCAATCGTCAACACTACTGAACTCCCCCGCTAGATTTAGCGGAAAAATTTCCCCGCTAAATCTATCGGAAAAATTTCCCCGCTAAATCTAGTGGAAAAATTTCCCCGCTAAATCTAGCGGAAAAATTTCCCCGCTAAATCTAGCGGAAAAATTTCCCCGCTAAATCTAGCGGAAAAATTTCACAGCGCCGTGTGTGTCTACCGCCTTCTACTCTGTCCTTGTCCTTGCGCTCCTCGTTTTCCGCTAATATGAATGACCAACCAGCCCAATCGTCAACACTACTGAACTCCCCCGCTAGATTTAGCGGAAAAATTTCCCCGCTAAATCTATCGGAAAAATTTCCCCGCTAAATCTAGCGGAAAAATTTCCCCGCTAAATCTAGCGGAAAAATTTCCCCGCTAAATCTAGCGGAAAAATTTCCCCGCTAAATCTAGCGGAAAAATTTCACAGCGCCGTGTGTGTCTACCGCCTTCTACTCTGTCCTTGTCCTTGCGCTCCTCGTTTTCCGCTAATATGAATGACCAACCAGCCCAATCGTCAACACTACTGAACTCCCCCGCTAGATTTAGCGGAAAAATTTCCCCGCTAAATCTACCCGAAAAATTTCCCCACTAAATCTAGCGGAAAAACCTCCCCGCTAATACTAGCGAAAAAACTTCCCCGCTAGATCTAGCGGAAAAATTTCCCCACTAAATCTAGCGGAAAAATTTCCCCGCCAGACCTAGCGGAAAAATTTCCCCGCTAGATTTAGCGCAAAAACTTCTCCGCTAAATCTAGCGGAAAAAAATGCCCCGCTAAATCTAGCGTAAAAATTTCCCCACTAAATTTATCGGAAAATTTTCCCCGCTAAATAGCGGAAAAATTTCCCCGCTAGATCTAGCGAAAAAATTTCCCCGCTAAAAATTTCCCCGCTAAATCTAGCGGAAAATTTCCCCGCTAAATCTAGTGGAAAATTTCCCCCGTTAAATCTGGCGGAAAACGTTCCTCGCTAAATCTAGTGGGGAAATTTTGGTCACGTGACCTGGGGGCACGTGACCTGGGAAGTCACGTGACCGCTCCCCCGAGGTCACGTGACCCCCTTCCGAGGTCACGTGACCTCGGGGGGGGGGGGGGGGCACGTGACTCCCCCCTCCACATGGACCCCTCTCCCCCGAGGTCACGTGACCCCAACAAGGTCTCGTGCCCTCTGGGGGGTCTCGTGACCCTTTCCCCTCTGTCACGTGACCCCCCCCCCCCCCGAGAAACCGTGGCCCTCAGTACCCTTCCCTCCTCCTCCTCAAGAGCTGCGCTCCGATTCGGCGTTACAGGGAGTGGTAAACGGCTTTCACTTTTTTCTATGATCATCGTGGCGTAAAAATCCGACCCAAGAAAACGAATACTTAAAACGATTTACTGAATTGTATACACGTTTGAGTTATAAATGTTCATCAAATCATCAATTAACGTTGTTTTAGTTTACTAGTTTAGAGATACTGCAAAAATCATTCAGAAATACAAATCCTGCGACACATGTATACAGAAATACAGATACTAAAGAAAACATTTGTATTTTATGAAACAGGACATCCCAGATATACTTCTGCAAAAAGAGCAAGAAAGTATCCCGGATTGCAGATACAGATACATAGCCGAGATGAATATTTTTCCCGAACGGTGTTACGTGCCAGGGGGGCAGTTCGTGACGATTGCAATTGATAATGGATAGTTCATCTGTTTGTGCAGGTTTACGTACTTCCTCTTAGGTCGAAGTCTTTCTCTAATCATAGATAGCATCCCGAATGGCGGAAACATTAATCTGCCGTCTCGGGTGCTTATGAGTCATTCAGGGTGCGAACTAAGGACACGGACCTGTCTGCACTATCCGCGCGGGACCTGCTGCAACATGAGAGAAAAATGAATACCTCACACAAGCCATACAAGCTCTCTGCTGTTCGTGATTGGCAGTTTTTTACTCTTGCAGTCGTGACCTTTTCGGCGTTCACTCTTTTAATCTGAAAATAGGGGAGGGATTTACTGGAAGAGCTTATCCTGGTAGCCTTGAGAGTTACCTCATCTGGAACCGCATTTGTTTTTAGTTAGTTTTCACTTCTTTCCTCAATTTTGGTGACTGTTCGCAGTACACCAGGCAACCATGCCCTCCTGTATTCGATGCGTTCGTATTAAACATTGTGGGACCACCCGATCCAAATAGCAGTTTTCAGTTCATTGTAAACGGCCGACGAATGGAACCAGATGCCCAACCCAGGCAGAGTATTCCGATACAACGGATACATCCTAAATGTATGTTCCTACAGAGATACAGAAACATTATTTAAATGTACCTCGATACAGAGATCCAGGTACTTGAAGGTATCTCGAAGATACATTCGCTGTACGTTTGTATCGCGATACTGCTCATCCCTGATCTACTGGTGCCAAATAAATAAATTTCTCGCAAACCATTTGATATGAAAAAAGTGAACCCGGGAAGAAAGAATAATTGCGACCCAAATATATATGTATATTACTATTACAACGTCATTATCCGCTCGAAACACCAACGAGTGTGGTTCCTCGAGCCAATGCAACCAATAAGAAGAACGATCGACATTATCCTCCAATAAAAACGCAAAACTTAGCGTAAAAAAAAAAAAATGGCGTTTAGCTTTTTTTGTGATTGGACCACGATGTCACTCACGTTTCTTATTGGCTAATTTGATATTTTTTAACGATTGGCATCGCGCATATTGCACATTTTTTTCTAATTGTATACTGCCAGCTACGTCATTTGCTGGAGTCCGGTTGTTCGTCGTGATTGGCTGTTTTCGTGAGAAGAGAGAGCGAGAGAGAATTTTTTCGTGCATTCTCGATTGAAGCGTTTAAGCAGACAGTTCTGACATCATGCCGGCAGTGAATACCTTGTCCTCTGTACGATGTATACGAGCCGTGTGACTCAAGGGAGCTTCTGAGAACGTACAGTTTGCGCCAACAAAGAACATCTGGCAGATGCCATTTCCGAGGGGTCGTACTTCGCAGTCTTTCTGAACCCTCACCCGAACACGCGTGTCGCAGACTTGCAGGGATCGCACGCTGGGTTGTCGATTCGTAAACATCGATGATGAGTTGGAAGCCGTGGCCCTTCTTTGGCGGTATTCTCTGCTAGCTTGGGAGCCAACACCGCTGGGGAAATACCCAGCGGGACAGCGCCGACGGCTGAGCTGGCCTTCATTTTCCTTTCCTGCGTTATTAAAAGACGATTTTCAACAACAACAACTGGTGAGGAAAGTTCGCTATTGCAGAACCGCGCAACCGCTTCGTCGACGGCGATGCTCGTCAGTGGGCTTCCTGGTTTTATTTTTGGGGAGGGCTGGAACAGAAGACAGAAAAGAATTGAGCTCTGTCTCTGCGTGCAGCCCGTCAGTTTCGTTTTGTTTTTTATTACTAAAACCGCAGATAAACTGCCTGTACATCAAACAGAAGGACAAGCTGCTCGCAGAAGTGTTTCTGCAGGCACGTGGTCAAGCGTGTACGCGGAGCGCTCTGTTTATACGAATGCTTTCAAGATGTCGGCAGACAGATTTTGTGTGAAAATTAAAAAAATGCGACTGTCCATACAAGGAAGAAACACGACTCAGATGCAGACTGCTTGATGCGCAGTGGGGGACCGTTACGACTGGAAAATGCAATTTCCTGAGCTTCACACGCAGTTCCAGGAAGCTCGCGCGACGGAGGTTTTGCTGCGGGCAGGGGCAGTTTTAACGTTTCCGGAGGGCGGAAAAGCGTTTCCTGTGATTTCAGAGATCAAGCTTCGGATGACCGCATCAGTAGAGATATTAATTAACGAGATGACTGACGTGGCATATCTCTCAGGAGTAACTTTATTCTGTGACTGTTTTATCGAAAGGATTTTTTAGAGAACAGACCCGCGAAACAGATGTCCTTGTAGTTTGCCGTTGGGATAGTTGGTGATTCATCGTATAGGCTAGAAAACGCTAAAGAAAACGACGGACAACTTAAAGGACGAAGCGTTCTATTGTGTTTTTTTGTTCTTTGACTTATCTGCTGTCTTTGTAGAGCTTTCATCCCATAGATGCCTGCGTGTGCACGTGTGGATGTGGGCCTGCGTGCTTGCACTTGTGTAGTCGTGTCTGGTCGAGTATCTGCTTGGTGTTGGAGTACTTTGTGTTTGTGTGTGTATGTATGTCTCTGTGCACGCGCGTGCGTGTGAGTGTGTCTGTCTGTCTGTGCTATCGCGGACAATATGAGCTGAAGAGTCGTTCCTACTTATCCGACATACCTGCCGTCTTTTCAGACATCTCTGGTCTGAACTCGGGACAGAATCCAAAGTTGATCTTCCATATACTACAGACTATTTGACACATTGAGAAAGAACAAAACTTGAGGAGACCGGAGGCGCTGAAAATGGCGGAATCGGGTGCTTTCGTTCATATTGTACGTGGGGGGGGCACGACGGATGCGCATGTCTGAACATGCGTGTGCGCGAGTTCACGTGTACTCTTCCACGCACGAGCGGTCTTGCGAAAGGCGACCGAAAATTTCTATCGAAGCAGAACTGAACCCATGGGTAATGCAACGAGAAAAAGGACACACGGAAATGTTTCCTCTCTTCATCCGTCTGCACGTAAAGGACTGCAGAATTCGCCATGTCGAAACGTGCGCGCGCCCTGATAGCTTCTGCGCCCATTATCCGCATCCAACTTTGTTTGGGCACGTAACCTGAGCCTATATTCGACACGAGCCATGCGTCAGCGATCGGCAACAACTCGTATCCAATCACGCGCTTCGTGCCAAAGAAATGGCGGCCATCAACGTCGTCTGATATACTTTCGAAAAGGGTCTGTATTGCGGATACCCAAAAATATCGGTGCCGAACATTCCGAATCAACCCCGCTCTCAAAGCAGACGCTAGCCAGCTTTAGCAGATCACGTGGTAGCCTTTCGTAACGGCCGTAAAACTTGCCTTCTCCACCCTAGTAAAACAAAACAAAAAAAAAAGTGCGATGTGCAAACGTTTCCTCTCCTACCCGTACACGCCTTCGAACGCTGCTCTAAGTCACTGCCGCGGCCACAACTCTGCGCCCTCGGCTCTCCCGCAAGCCCCGTGGCCTTGTTTTCATTCGAAAACCTTCCTGCTCGCTCACTTCCGGTACCTCACTTCCGGGGATCGCTTCCGGGACGGATGGCGGCAGCGCTAGAGAGCCTACATTTAACAGAGGGAACAACTCAATCAGTTGAACGCGCGTTTGCAATTTAATGGCGGACGCTTCCCCCGCGCAGGTTGTGTGTGTGTGTGTATCGGTCCGTTGTCGAGTGGATGGCGGGTGTGAAGAGACGAAGCTCGCAGACGACAGGTGCGTTCGCCTCTTTCTTGCAGCTCGTGTTGTGACCCCTGATCGAGCAGTTACGAACTCTATCAAATCGAGGCACACTATAGCCTTGGTGAGGTAACCGCGTGTGTTTGAGAAGAACGCGCGTGTTTTATGAGTTTTGCCGTTGGGGGCCGGGCGCCGGTGGAACTTTGGACCCGGTGTGTTCGCTCGCTCTTATCGGCACGCAGCGTGGATTGATTCCGTGCGCGGGATTCGGCCCGTATCGTGCTTATCGGCGACCTTACAAACGGAGAGGCACTACGGCCACTACGGCGACGGAGAACCAGATACTACTTCGTGCCGTAAGGGGAGGGGTCGAAATTAGGACGACTGAAAATGGTCCGTCTAACCTCGTCCTGGGCGACGGCGCCTGTTCTTCTCTTCGTTCTTTTCGTCAAGCAAGGTGAGTATTGATTGGTCATCCTAACCCATAAATGGGAGCAACGAGTTCTAAGTTACGTCGCTACATTTCAAGTGCATCCGTTAGGAATTAGCCAATTTCTTCAGAAAACAAAAATGATACTTTTCGTTACCAAAATAAAAGAAGAAACAAAAAACCCGCACCTTTGTGAGTGGTCGTCGTGGGCGGTTATCGCTATACTCGCTGACAGCTTGGGGAGCTCACGGGTGCAGCCAGTCCCCGAACATTTCTTTGTTGCTCCGCAGTTGGTGAGATTCCGTCATTTTCCGGCCAGAGCAATGAGGGGCAACTGACGAATCAAAACGAGTCAGCATAATATGTCACTACGTCCTGGGCTTCCCAAGTTGTCATTCGAACATTTCCGTGCGACGCTTTCGTTAGGCCTAAAGATTAGAATCGATTCGCTCTAGCGAGACGTCTGCGCATGTGCCGTGCCGACAGCAGCGCCACCGCAGCGGTGTGACGTCACAGAAAAAGTGCCGAGTCACTGGGCTGTAGACGCGTGCGTAGCTTTTACACTTTTTTGTAGCAAGAAGTGGTTGTTTCTGAGAAGGAAACTTCGGCGTGCTAATGGTGATTTGGCGTGCTAATGGTGACGCTTGTCTAACTGCGTACAAGTGCTGGCTGCCTCATGATATTCTAATGCGCGAGCGCCGTAGGGTTGAATAACTGGAAATATCCAGTTTCTCAAATGGGAAAAATGGAAAACTCTGCCCTCTGATGTATAGTTTTCTGGATATTGGCCCCTATATTTTGTCTCTACAGTGTGACGCGTGAGGCAGAAATTAACTCACTGACAAAGCGAAGAAAAGATATACGCACTTAAAATGGTTAGCATTTGTACGAGAAGGATAGATGAAACGAAAGTGCTCGTGCCCTCCACTTCGACGTTCCGAGAGGACGCACACTCTGAACAAAGGACTGGCGAGTTCACTTTCCTGCAGAACGCGATACAACAAATCACGGTGAATTGTAGGAACATCTCAGCTAATAACTAAACTCAAAATATGACTAGACAACAACAACACCAAAAAAGTTCAGTTCGCACAGGGATAATGAGCATGACTTTTCACCCTCTCATTAGCCCTGTGCACACACACACACACACACACACACACACACACACATATATATATATATATATATTTTTTTTTTCAGATTTTATCGTGCATTTAGTTTTGTCATTTTCTAGCATCGTATATGGCTTGCCGTGTTTGACTGTTGTTTTTTTTCTGTTTTTTTTTTTTTTGTGCGTTTCGCCAGAACTCGCGAACCTTTTTTTACAGGACTATTCAACGATATGGTTTCAAAAACAATGTCGTCAAATACCTCTTTTTTTTTTTCAAAACAATATTAGAATGGATTTCTTATCTAGTGGGACCGTCAGCTAAACTTATATGAAGTCGTTCGAGGTAAATTTACACGAATGGCGCCCTAGGTAATATATGCATGCCATTAGTGTTCCATATTTTGCAGGGATGACCACCCAGCCCAATACAAGTATGATGACGCCTATGTGAATGCTTGAACGTGTTCTTGTTTTCTTCCAAATGTTCGTTCCCTTCTGCGTTGACAGAAAGGTTTGCAGTACTATAAACAAAAAAAACAATTAAAAAAAAAACGAAAGGCTACTCTAACATGGCGTTCATCACTCTGCACTCTTAGGCGCTTGCGTTCAACTAGAGTGCGACCCTCGAAAATTCTACGAGCTCTACTCGCCCGTCATCTCCTCTCTAAAGTTCAGGGTAACGGGACAACTGAACACCCCATACATACTGCAACGGGACTGCGAGTGAGTACACAGTTTTCTTTTTGTTTCAACTTCAGGTCGCGAGGACGTTGAAGCATATATTCCCCTCGAAAATCTTCACAGACGCGTGACAAGTGATCGCATTGAATGACTCTAGCCATAGTCCCACATGTCATACGTCATACAAAAGACAGTCTGCAAGCGTGATTCACAGCAATATCCGGGGTTCAAATGCCGCGTCCCAAGTTTCTCCTGGAACTCATTGCCACGCGGCATTCGAAGTGCGTATCTCGCGGCGACTCGCGTTCGACTCTTGCAGACTGTAGTTTGTATGATGTATAAGCAGTGTGACCCCGGCTTTGAGCCAAGGTAACACTGCTTATACATTATACAAAAGACAGCCTGCACACAGATTCGAACGCGAGTCACCGCGAGATACGCAAATCGAATGCGGCACGGAAACGAGTTTAAAGAGGAAACTTGGCACGCGGCATTCGAACCACGGATATTCCCAAGCGGCACAGAGTTGGCCAGTCATCGGCCAATGGCTGGCAATGGTCCTTGGCCAAGTGGCCAGGCAGTGGCCAAAGACTGGACGGTGACTGGCCTTTATCTGGCCATTGGGCAATGGCCACTGGCCATTAGTCATCGGCCAAGCATTGGCCAATGAATGGCCATTCCCTGGCCACTGGCCAAAAGACCATCGCCAGACATTGGTTAGTGCTTGGCCAAAATCCGTGCTGCTTGGGTTGCTGCGAGTCGTGTTTGAAGACTGTCCTTTCTATGATGTGTGAGCAGTCTGACCCCGGATTAAGGTATCGTTATAGTGTATACAAGTCGAAGTAGTTTATCGCATCCGAAAATCTTTTTACTAAAAGAACGCGTTTTTTTTTTCTTTTTCTTTTTCGCAGAACCGAAAATAAGTTTTACGCAAATAAAACAAGTATACCGCTTAAGGTGTATCCACACGACGGACCGGGCCGCGGACCGATAGATCACGTGATGCGCGGCCCGCGGGCCGCCCGGGTGCAATGAGCATCCACACGGCGGACCAAAAGAGCAGACGACAGAGTGAACGGGCCGGTCTAACCCTCGACCTCACAGCTCCGCCAAACGCGTGCAACGAGCTGCTTTGAGGCTATTTGTAAGGAGCCAAGATGGAGGTTGAACGAAAGAGACTTTTGGCCGCGGTGGCTTTGGCGTTGACTATTGAAGACGAGGAGGACTTAAGTGAACCGGAAAGGGCATGCATCTATTGTCCCACAGAGCGGGAAATCGCTCCACGAGCGCAATGAAGTAAAAAGTTGCATCGTTGCACCATGCCGCCATCGTCGCACAACAAAAGGTTTGTCGTCTTCGTCTTCAACAGTTGGCGCCAAAAGAACACGACTTTCGATTTGGATTCCAATCCAAACAAAAGTCAGCTTGTTGCCAGACTTAGCACTTCAATTATACTAAAAACGCCGCGGTCCGCCGCCAAGGTCCGGGCGAGAAAACTGGCTTGGCATTTCTCACAAGCGCGGGCCGCGGACCGCCGGCGGACCTCGAAAAGCGGTGACGTAAGATCACGTGATGCGCGGCCCGCGGACCAAAACAGCAATTTGGTCCGTCGTGTGGATACACCTTTAACGTCCACTGCACGATTGTGTTCCCAGCGCCCTGAAAGACGTCACCCAGCGAGTGGAAACGTTGCTCGAAGGATGTAGCGCTGACAAGAACGAAAATCTGAAGAAAGAAATAAGGGGCTTGCAATTAACCCAGGAATCTTTGTGCGGCAGCGAACTAGAGGACGGTAAGAGAAACCAGCATTTTTTGTTTAACCACCACCAGGAGCGGAGACGCTGGCGTGTGCACAACCGAAACACCGGTTCATGCTCACGTGCAGTGTTCACGGCATGCATCTGTGAACAAACGCATTTGCTTTTTAAAACACTTCCTTCTCCTGCCTGTTTGTGCGTGTGTCACTCGTAGACCTGAACATCTGGCAAGACTGTTTCGATGCGAAGGTCTTCGCTGAATGCAAGAAGAACGTCGAGGAGCGGCTGAACAAGCTCGAACAAGACGGCGCCCTGGACGTTACAGGAGACCGCCTATGCAGGTAACCCATCTTTGAATATATGTCTGAGCAACCGCGGGTTTTGGGGTTCATTTTTCGGCACGCATAAAAGAGCTTCATGGCGAGCAAGTTCTTGGCGCTTCGTGACGCGAGGAGGGACACGCCGATCAACGGACGAAAAAAGAGGACGGACTGAGAACACGCGATGAGGCAGACAAGCACTTCGTTAATTATTGGCTCAGGTAGCGGAAAGGTGGGGGATAAAAAAATCACCTGGGCGTATTTGGAGGGTAAACAAACGCACGGGATACGCAAGGAGCAGGCGAACTTCGTCGACGTTTGCAACCAAGTACGACCGAATGAGACAAGACCCGTTTTTAAAGCTCTTGCTACCTTTCATGAGACGTCAGAAGAGGCGTAAAAACCGCTCTTTTCTCAGTCGGTTGTAGCCAGACGCATATGTGTGAACGGGGCTTTAAGCTGAGACTAGAAGCTCCGCCTTCGGCGCGAGCTCGCTGACTTCCGTATGTGCTCTGGTTGCGCGTGCCTGCGCTTTCACACTTGTGTTAGCAAGGGCAGAAAGCTTGCGCTGAAGGCGGAGCTTCTAGTTTCAGCTTAAAGGCCGACCTACAGAATCGTCTTCAGCCAGGCAGAGAACCGGTTCCCGGTTTCCTTCTTTCCACCCACTCTCGCCCTCTTCTCTCTTCCTCTCCCCGAACGAAAGGGCCTCAGAGCTGCTCCCCGCAGAAAGGAGGATGGTCTACCTCCTTCTCACATGGAAAGGAGGAATTGAGGAAGGGTTTCCTCCTGTCTGGTTGTTCGTCGGCCTTTAAAGGTCCGTTCACACTCTTTCAACCGAGAACAACTGAGAGAGACCAGACCGGTTTTTAAGCCTCTTGCGCCGTCTTAGGTCCAGCTCCGCTGCACTGCATCCGGTCCTAAGAGGTCGCAAGAGGCTTAAAACCGGTCTGTCCTCTCTCGGTCGTGCTCGGTTGCAAGGGTGTGAACGGGGAGCATGGGGAGTAGGTGTACACTGGACGCTATAGTTGAGTGCGCCGGTCACCGCGCATGCGACGTGGCACACACAGGCTGCCATGCCCCGCAGTTTTGATGGTGTGGAATGCGCGTTGCCAAACTAGAGAGGAAACTCCACGCCAGGACCGCGGTCAGCAACCACAGACCCAGAGAGCGACGCCGGTGAATACTTCCTGTAATCACGGACACCTCAACGCAGGGCGGGTCGCATCTGATTAACGCTCCACGGCCAATGCGATTGAGGCATTGGCCGACAAGAACGACAAACGACGACTCCCGAAGCAAGGAACGTGAACGTTAGAAGTGACGCCCTGACTTTCTTCTGCCCTCGATGACTGCATGGTTTTTGCACGAGACCATGACGCAAGGCTCTCTATACCGCTTCAAAAATCTCGCCGGAATCCATGCTGGAGGCATTTGTTGCTTTATTCTGTGTTTTGCGTGCTTTGGGGGCCGTGTTCGCGCTGTAGTTTGTCCGATCACTCCAGGTGTAAATTGGTTAGTTGCACCGTTTTTAATTGTTCCAGCCGTAAAAGTCGGCGAAAAAGTGGAGCTACGGCCAACAGAACTGTGTTTGTTTTTTTTTTGTTTTTTTTATACTTTGTTCAAAATTCCTGCAATTATTAGTAGAACCAGCACAAGGCGAGGCTCGAGCAATCGGTTCTACGGCGTCATAAATGGCTCCTACGGATACGTCGGCACAATCAACTTTCGACCGACCTAAAGGTTTTTGGACTGCACTTCATGCTAGGTGAGGAACCTCTTTGCGATTGACTCGGACATATAAAGCAGACGAAAGTACTTGTGCGGCGGCTTCAGTCTTCGTCTGTGTAGCCAGTCAAAAAGATGGAGGACCGGTATCGGTACTGACAGTTTTGCATAATATCCCCAGTGATGAAGCAATGGTGAGGGTGCAGGCTAGCTGGTGTAAATTGAGCATAAACTTGAGACTGGGGATACGGACAATGGACAAACACAAAACGACACGGACAAAGTGTCAATCGTAGCTACAAACTTGTCCGTATCCCCAGTCTCGAGTTTACTCCTACGCTCAATCCCCATTGATTTCCCGTGTAGGTAGCGGCACTAAATGTCTTGTCAGTCACAGCAAATGATAAGCAGACCACGCATCTTTCGCCGTCCGACGGCACTCTTACGAGGCGCCCGATGCCGTGTGACGGCACTCCGGGCGCGCATTGAAGTGCCGTTCGAGGATGTTGAACAAAAGTCACGCTTGTTTTGACCTGTGTTCCATCCACAGCCCGACCCCAGTATGCTTTAGCTTCAAACGCGAGCGAGGCATACGCCAGGGCTCTACGGCACTACTGCTGCCGCTGTAAGACGCTAAGTGCCTCCAGCATGGCGACAAGGCACCGATGGCAGGCGACAATGTTGGTTTCGATTTCGAGGCTAACCAGAAGTGACATCAGGTGCAAGAAGCCTGTGTGGAGCGCAAGTTCGCCTGCTTCTTGCACAGTTGTTGCGATGATGTCAGAACAAGCTCTTATTGGTTGATTGAAAAAAAATAGTTGACAGACCCAACACTTCCTAGATAATGAAGCCGTGGTGCTGATAGAGATGTCATCATCAGCGAAGGCCAAAGCTGGTCACAGATTGGACATGACGATTGCGTCAACGTTCGGCTCCAACTTGACTTGAAGCCGAGCACTGACGCGGCACTTGTTACCGATCTGTGCCCAGCGTTCGGGCTTCGCTGGTAACGCAAAAAATGTCAGCACTATGGCCTTGTCTTCTACGTGGTGTCGGTAGACCTCAAGACATCTAGCATTGAGGTCTCCCCACCACCCTTCCAAACAGAGCCAATCAGAGCTCGGTGTCGTTCTGGCGTCACAGCAACTTCTGCGCAAGAAGCCGACGACTGGCTCTCCGCATGTGCACGAGATCTGGAGCGACTGCTCTCGCGCAGAGTATATTGGGAGAGCCAATTGCTGCAATCTACGGGAGTGTCGAAGCAATGAGTGGCTTGTATACTACCAGCGCAGTTTGAAAGACACTGAGAGTGCATTTAAATGTCGCAGCTATAGAGTACGCGCCGTAGAAGCCAATGGTACGCGCATGTACACTGACCGACGGAGTGCTTATTGAAGGCTTTCGCAACATGAGTGTTCCTGTTCCTGCAGAAACCGGTCGCTGAGCTTCCAGTGCGCACTGCAGGCAGGTGCAGGTTGCCCCCAGAAAGCGGAAAGGGCCAGGAAGGCCGTGGAAAACTACATCAACGCTCTCATGGACACGTCGATTTGTCGGAGACCTACCGGTAAGTCAGACATCGTATCGCGCGACGTCGCAGATTTTCACACGAACTTCTGTTCCTGGAACGCTTGGCCGAGCGCCACGACACCCGTCGACGTAGCGGCGCAAGAGCGTCAAGAAAGGGAGCCACGTGGACCACGTAGGAGGAGTTGCGAAGGGATCAAAGGCGTGACCGGAAAACGCGGGAGGAGGAGGACAGTGTGGTTCGGGGGTGGGAGCAGTTCGTGAGTGAATGAAGTTGAATGAAGGCTCGTTCACATACTTGCGACCTCTTAGAACCGTGTGCCTTGGAACCTCTTAATATCTCTTGAGACGAGAGGACACACTGGCGCCATCTATGTGTTAGCAGTGGAAACTTGGCGATCGGGCATATTTTCTATTTCTCTCGCTCATTATCTTTTCTTCCTTGGCTCGAAAAACTTTTGTCAACGTTGTAAACGAGCCTTTCCATAGGTATTACGTACATTTGACCTCGGAAATCCCGCAAAACCTTCGCACTTGTGAAATGCAGTTCCAGGGTCACCACATAGACGGCGCCGGCGTGCCAGTGTTTTCTCGTCCTAAGAAATTTTAAGAGGTCTGAATAGGTCTTATCTCTCTAGGTCGTACCCAGTCGCAAGTGTGTGAACGGGCCTTAAAGGTGTGCGGTGAAGTTGGAGACTCAGTAGAAATTACGTTACAGAAACTGGAGCTTCATGCTGTAGGACGTGGCGATCCTGCCGGTTTGGGGTAAAAGTTATGGGAACAAAATTGCGTGCCGATCACACGACGTAAAGCGTTTATACAGCGGCAGCTGTGCTCACTGATCTCTATTGTAGTGTGCTGGATCGTGGACCGTGGCGTCGGCAGCTGGGGCTGCGTGTTGCCACCGGCACCATTGATTGACACCAGCCAATGCATGGGACTCTATGGGAAGAACGAGAAAAAGTGCGTCTCCCCCGTTTCTAAGCTGTCGTCGGCAATAAAACTTTTTGGCTGCTTTTCGATAAGCCCGCCAAATAGCTTGTGTACAAACATTAAAACTGACGGCCTTCGCAGTTCTTAAAAATAAATATTTTGTGGTCGAGAGTGACTCCGCTGGGCGAAAAGTGTAGTGCAGCTCAATGAGGCGAGAGTTACCTAGAGTTAGCGCGGAGTCGGTGGCGGTTTCGTTGAGTTGTGTTTAGCAGACGACAAACTCGAAGGCTTTGCTACGTGGAATTTTCACGCTGCCGGAAAGCCGCTGTCGAGATGGAACTTCTTTGCCATTCATCAACTTCTGGGCTTCCCCGAGGACGGTCCCATTGACGGCAAGGTTCTTTGTTCACTCCACTACGAGAGCAAGCTTGCCAGCTCAGCCGTAGGCGCTCCGGTACGTTTGATCTTTTTGAATCGGCATCTGGCAACCGAACACTTGAGAAATAACGATCCGATCTCCAAACACCCGATATAAGGATCGTAGCGCACCATAAAATACTCGCCTCCGAGCACAGCGTACATGCTTCAATATTCTTACCTTTGAGCGTTTCTCCCATAGACTTGCGTGTATTGCCTGGTGTCAAGCAATGGCCGCCGGTGGCGACACCGACGGGCTCCAGATCCGCGATCCAGCCTACAACAGTAGAGATCAGTGGCTGTGCTGCTTATTCGACGATATGACGATGACGATGGATTGACATTGCACCGATCGTGCGTCATACGGTGATCTGATATTGAAATTACGTTGCCATGATTTAGCGTCGATACGTTGTTGATGAATCAATAATTTTAAGGTCGTCATGTGTTTTCCCGCCAAATGTAGCGGGGAAACTTAATTGGTGTATGGGTCATGGGATGTCAATTTTTCCGCTAAATTTAGCGGGGAAACTGAATTGGTGCATAGGTCACGTGACGTTGTTATTGAAAACGGAACATTGTGATTTGTTCTGCTCTGAAGAGTACGCTTGCGAGGATGACCTGTTCCGCAATTGCTACTGGAGTGTCCCGGACCCTAGAGTTTGGCAATTGCCCATGTTCCCGAGCGGTGCAGATGAGCTCGCCGAAGGATGCAAGTAAGTGCACTTCCTACCCTGTGCAACGCATCGTGTAGAGCTCGATTCCGGCCCTGCCGAATGTAAGCGTGCATAATCTGTGGCATCGTCTTAGTGTCCCTCGCCTGAAAACTCCAGGATATGGTCTCTCGTAGCCACCGAAGGGATGAGAGCGGCAGAGTGTCTTTTTTTCGATGCTTTGTGCCTCCAGCACACACTCGTTGCCTTCCGTGGTGCTTGGGCTGCGTATGGACGTTTGAGGCTGACGAGACGCCGAAAAAGGCGGGAAGTTCGCGCTGGGAGCGGGACAAGTGAAAGCTCGCCCCGCCGTTCTAATCCTGCCAGTGCTTGCAGGAGAAGACAGATTCCGTTAATAAAGGCCGGCGTACACTTCGCGCTTTCCACTTTTGCCCGCCCCCTCCTTTCCTATACCCTCTCCACTTCTAACCTTGCTTCAACGTGACTCTCCTCGCAACTTAGAAGGGAAGAGCGCAAAGAGGATTATCTTCCTTGCATAAAGCCGAGGCTGTACGTCGGCCTGGGCGATCCAATCCGACATGCATAAAGGTCCGTTCACACTCTTGCAACCGAGTACGACCGAGAGAGACCAGAACGGTTTCTAAGCCTCTTGCGACCTCTTAGGACCAGCTCCGCTGCAGTGCATCCGGTCCTTAGACGTCGCAAAAGGCTTAAAAGCCGGTCTGGTCTTTCTCGGTCGTACTCGGTTGCAAGTGTGTGAACGGCCCTTAAAGGGCCCATGAAACGATTTTTGGGTTGGGATAAATCATTTTAGATTGGGATTTTACTAATAGAACATCGTTCAGTGGGCCAAATAAAAAAAGGTAGAAAGTCAAAAGCCTGACATTCAGTGCGAAAATTTGAAAACAGAGCGGACTATTTCGTACCTCCTCCCCTTCGTAACCTCTCTGCCTTTTCACTGTGATACATCCGCGGTCCCAAAAGCGTGTCATCGGGTCCAAACTGACGTCACACAAAACCGGACCTCATTTAGTCCCTTCACCCCTAAGCTGACATTGTGGTGGAAGCTACGCGCTTGCCGGACCAATCAGCCACCTCCGTTTCATCACCTGACTTCATTTTCTGCAGCCACATTTGCCACGCTTACGTGGCAAAAGTGTGGCTAGCCCAAGGAGCACGTAGCTTCCACAGCACTGTCAGCTTAGGGGTGAACGGGCTAGGGAAAGAAACCTTTGTCTGAGTTTTGAGCGACGGGCTAATCTTCTAGGGGGAGAATGGATGTGTCCGGGGATTACACAAACCAGGTTCCGAGCGAGAGGGGCCTCCCTTCTTTTCGTCTTCTTGAACTGTTTGGTGGAATGCGCGATTTATGAGTTGAGGAGGAAAGCGAAACAGGAAAAAGTTGGAAAAGCGTTTCATGACCCCTTTAACAGCATCTGGGAACGACAAAAACCTAAAATCCGTTTTCTTTTCCTTTCTTAATACAATTTTGAAAGTTGGTTTCGGCTCGAAAGTGTGCGGTTGTGTTTGGACGACGCAGGCTAAGCGCACCGGCGACGGATCGAGGGGAATCCATGATGATATTTGTTGCAGTGGCAGCAGGCGGGAAAAGGAAGAACGCGGAGCAGTAATCAAAAAGAAAAACAAATAACTTTTTTTTTTTCTCGGAGGGCGGGGGAGGGGGGGATTGTTGAATGAGTTCGAGGGAGAAAATACAACCAATGTTCCCAAAAAGCGATAATTCCCCGACGCGGTTTCCGCGAAGACTAAGTGCGCAAGCGAGCTGGTGATAGCTATAATCATGTCGTTTAAAAGGATACTGAACCGAAATTAACACGGCGTCGCTAGTGTTGTGAACATACTTTTTGGGGTGATGTTTTTTTGTTTTTTTTTACATTATTACGTTAATAGTAATATAATGGCAGTATGAGAACGTATGCGTCGGTTTTATTTTCGGTCGGAATACTTTAGTTTATGCTTTGGGCATACATAGCGCGTTTTAAAGCAAAGCACTGTTAGTCACTCTACGTTCGGTGATAATGGTGGCCCAGCAACTATGTGCGTCGCGTGGCGGGCATTTCCGTGCATGTGTTTTGGATCCACAAATATCGCCGCGTATCGTCAGGTGGTGAGTCATGCGGGCGCCGCGCGGCGACCAGTTTCACCGCTCATGTTTCTCCTGCTTTAAACAACATGATAACGGTTTGCGAGGAGGGTGGACCGCTTTCGGCTCATCGGTTACTGCAGAATCCGGGTCCTGAAAAGTTTAACATTTTCAAGTTTGGATTCAGTCTTCGGAACGCGCAATATGCAACTGTTAATGACGCTTCCGAGTCCCGGACGTTCCCGCATGACCGGATTCTGGGTTGGATTAGACCGACCTTCATGCGTGGCGTCTCAAGCGTACTTTCCGCTGTAAAACGAGACGGCAACATAGACCTATCACACCAGGAGTTGCGCAACGCCACTGCTGACGCGGTGCATTCTGGTTCCTATATAGCTATCCCCAGTTTTCCGGCCGCCGCGTCAATGCGCGTTGTGCGCCCGGCGTTTGAACATTTTCGGGTTACAGGAGACTTTTAATCGGCTGTTTACTCACGCTTTTCAATGGGTGGAAAACAATATGGGGCGGGTGACCCGAAAGGTAGCCCGCCAGCCCCATATTGTTTTTTGTTGTATCCCTTCACTGTGGGTAGATTTTCATTCGAATTTCAGTATTTCATTGATGCCGTCTATGTTTCACTCCAATATCCAAGAGAATGTGTTCTTCTTGAAAAATATTGCGCCCGAGTAAACAAACAAAGGAGCTACCAACTACTAATACCAGAAGTGAACGTCCCTTACAGAGCCGCTCTCGTGTTCTTTGCATGATGTTTACAGAGTCGCGAAATCCGTGCCTACTTGCACAAGGAACGTGCAGATCGAGCGATGCCCCGAAGAGAAAAAGAAATATCTGTATACCCTCAAGGATGGCTTTCGGTCAATCCCTGATTCCCTTTGCAACGAACAACTTCGAGCAGGTAAGTGTTTCTTTTTTGTTTTGTTTTTCTTTTATTCAGCAAATTGTTTGTCAGATGTTGTTCGGCCTTTTTATCTGCAAGCGGCAACCTCATTGGCTGTGGATGGATCATTAGATGCTCCAGGCTCGGCATACCCTGTGTGTCTTGAGCGGAGGGTGACTGTACCCTTGTACGACTAAAGTCGCTGGATTCTGGAAAAGCAGCGTCGTTACCTTCCCCGCCTGCTTGCGGGACACAAACATATACTAACATACAGACGACCATAACCTCGCAAGGCGATTTGCTGACCACTATCTGTTGCCATGGCGATTTCCGTTTCGGTCCTTACAAATTTTTGAAGCTTGGAAAGGGTCCTTGGTATTAGCCGATTCACACGATGGACTGATCCGGAGTCGGATTGATCACGTGACGACATGTCCGCGCTTCGTTCGTCTCCCAAGCGCATCAACACGAAAGAGACGACGAGTAGACGCAAGCGAGGACGAACCGAACCTGTTCGGCATTCTGCAGTGCCGCGGAACTCCAACGTCGCACCGTTGTCCAAGAAAGAGATCGACGTTTGCTACCGCAATAAGGAATCGCACGCCGCTGTTACGTACAGATTGAGACAAAGCATCGTGATAGACTTCGCGCGAGGCACCACTAGCTTTACTAACCCAAGGCATGACAGTGACACAGGCTTCACAAAATTATAGCGCCGAAGACACAGACAAAGACGAAGAAGTGAACGAACGCAAGGCGTACTCGCAACTGTTGCTTATACCAAAAAACAAAACAAAACAAAAAAACATTCATAATATAGGCCCACAACAACGTAATAAAGTGGTGAACTGGGCCAGTTGGTTGACGTTATACATGATGGAGAAAACAGCTCAGAAAACATGGACTACGAAGAGGAACAAACACGACAGGACGATGCTGTACAACACCGTATACGGTGTTGTACAGCATCGTCCTGTCGTTATGTTGTTATAACAACATGGGTTTCATCACCGTGTCGATGCATTGCTTGTCTAATATATTCATACTCTTTCTTCGATAGGGCAAGTGATGCTTCACTTACACAGTCTGCACCCTTATCGCGGATTTCAAACGCCACATGCAGCTCTCTACTAGTTCTATCGTGGTACCGAGCCAAAATCTTAATGTCATGTAGAACAGGCGTACATGGGCATCTGTTGCAATGCATGACAAGATGACCCAACCAGCCCACCTATACCACTTTTCTGCAGTTATTATGAACCAACTAGCCCACCTAACCACTTTGCTGCAGTGACTCAGGCATGATGCTGCAATGACACAGGCATGGTTTTGATCGCACCGCGGCGAGACGAGTTTGGGCGATCATGGGGGCGCCTGGAATGAGAGAGCGTTCATGATCACGCGATTTCACGAGCATTATGGTGCGGCTTACTTGAGCAGTGTTGCCTGGACGCCAGATGAGAATGAACACAATAGACCGATCCCACTAAGCGTTCTGCGCATGCGCGACGACGCCATCACTGTAGTTCATAGGAGGCAGACGCCTGTTCACGAGACAGCTCGAACCGCCTCGTGCTCTGTTCGCGCAGGCCCTCAGCGGGGTTGTCGGGCGTGCAGAAAGACTACATCTCCCACGATGCATGGCGGCAGCGGTGGCGTAATAAAACTGGCTCTGAGATCGGTCTATTCGTAAATTGATTATTGCAATTACTAGAGCTCTAAAAATCGTGAAACTTCGCGTATACATTAAGCGGCCTATTAATATTCCATTACAAGAATAATCGATCCGTTTAATGTTTGTGCCCTAGCCCCAAAACGAACGTTAATATTTTCTCGCGTTCTACAGTCGAGTGACCTCACAAGTTGTATTACACGCGCGTTCTCAAGTGAGGGTGATATTGCCGCGCGCGCAGCCGGCCAAGTAGGCAGCGCGCGCGTGGCCTAACGGTTATCGTACCTGGCTTCCATGCGAAAAGCCAGGGTTCGATTCCTGGGAGCGACGCATCTTTTTGTTTATTTCTGCAGAGCGGCAGGGTGTCTTTTTTCCGATGCTTTGTGCCTCCAGCACACACTCGATGCCTTCCGTGGTGCTTGGGCTGCGTATAGACGTTCCAGGCTGTCGAGACGCCGAAAAAGGCGGGAAGTTCGCGCTGGGAGCGGGAGAAGTGAAAGCCCGTTCCGCCGTTCTAATCCTGCCAGCGCTTGCAGGAGAAGACAGATACCGTTAATAAAGGCCGACGTACACTTCGCGCTTTCCACTTTTGCCTGCCTCCTCCTTTCCTATACCCTCTCCACTTCTTACCTTGCTTCAACGTGACTCTCCTCGCAACTTAGGAGGGAAGAGCGCAAAGAAGATTATCTTCCTTGCAGAAAACCGAGGCTGGTACGTCGGCCTGGGCGATCCAATCCGACATGCATAAAGGTCCGTTCACACTCTTGCAACCGAGTACGACTGAGAGAGACCAGAACCGGTTTTAAGCCTCTTGCGAGCTCTTAGGACTGGCTCCGCTGCAGTGCATCCGGTCCTAAGAGGTCGCAAGAAGCTTAAAAGCCGGTCTGGTCTTTCTCGGTCGTACTCGGTTGCAAGTGTGTGAACGACCCTTAACAGCATCTGGGAACGACAAAAACCTAAAATCCGTTTTCTTTTCCTTTCTTAATACAATTTTCGGAGTTGGTTTCGGCTCGAAAGTCTGCGGTTGTGTTTGGACGATGCAGCTAAGCGCACCGGCGACGGATCGAGGGGAATCCAGGGCGATATTTGTTGCAGTGGCAGCAGGCGGGAAAAGGAAGACCGCGGAGCAGTAATCAAAAAGGAAAACAAATAACTTTTTTTTTTCTCGGAGGGCGGGGGAGGGGGGGGGGGGGGGGGATTGTTGAATGAGCTCGAGGGAGAGAATACAACCAATGTTCCCAAAATTTACCATTCTGGTAAATTCGAGAATCCTGTTGCTTGTTCGAGGCCCGAATGTTCTACCGTGGTTCTACGCGTCGAACTTTCTACGCCGATTATTCGAGAAGCCCACGCATGTACTATCGGGGAAACATGAAATGCGAACAGAGGAGCGCGTGGCTCGCGGTACAGGCTGCGCCACCTGGAAGTGAGCCTAGGGGCGAAGGTGCGTGGCCTACTCCGATGTGTTCACGCCCTTCGCTCTGCGCTCCCCAAGCTTCGGCAGTACGCCTCTCAGTGCGCTGAAAGCTATCACCGCTATCTTTGCTCGCTCGGCGCGTGCGGCGAGCTTCGTCGCACCGCGCGCTGAGATAACAAAGGTAGTGGTGATAGCTTTCATCGTACTAAGAGGCGCGCTGCCGAAGCTTGGGGAGCGCAGAGCGAAGGGCGTGAACACATCGAGTAGGCCATGCACCTTCGCCCCTAGGCTCACTTCCAGGTGGCGCAGCCTGTACCGCGAGCCACGCGCTCCTCTGTTCGCATTTCATGTTTCCCCGATAGTACATAAGGGGCTCCGCGTGGCGACCCACAATCAGTTTCGCCCCAGCTTTCGACTCTGCTCTTTCGCCGACTTCGACGCCCGCGACGCTCTGCTGTTATCTTCTGTTTCCTTTTTATTTTTGGGCACAAGTTCGCACCCCATTAAACGTTTAGTTTCTTCAGTTATTATGGCCTCATCACTTGTCATTTGTGACAATATATTGATTGGTATTGATATTTATTGCACTTTGGGCGGGTAAATTCGTGCACGTGTGCCGGTGTTCTGGAAATGCTGGCGCCGATGCTTTAGGTAAGCCGAACATAATCGGCTCGACGGCTTTTGGTCGGAATTTCAAGGGCTCCCTAGCGATACTTGGGCCCAAGTGAGTTCGCCTACTTCAGTTGACCCAAGTGACTTCTGCCATAGCCTAATGATAGCCTATGCCTGTATATTCTACGCATGCTGGTCGGAGGAAAATTCAATAGGGGCCGCCGTCTGAGAAGTTCCGTGCCGCCACCGTTGCTTCGGAGGGGGGGGGGGGGGGGGGGGGCGGATGCAAATTTGGTGGTGTGAAATGTATGCTCAAGAAGCACTCGCTTAGCTCCTCTCCGAGCCTGGCGCAAGTGAAGCCACTGGAAGTTTGATGCTTGTCCCGGATGTCGGACGTGCTCTGGGCTTCCTAGCTCATTCATTTGATAGTTTGGTCCATGCTGTTTTGTGTCTTTGATTGGTTTTTAATACTCCCGTTCTGGATTAAATCCCGAGAATAAGGCATTTGAACGTGGGACATACGCACACTTGATAAACTTGGATCTCAAAATTTTCCCATCGAATGGCTTCCCAGGAGACTTCTCGGGTCCGCATGCACTGTTACTCCGCAACAAGCAGGATCTCTCGAACCAGCACTGGGAAGAGTTGAAAAGCCTGTCAAGTGCTCACTTCCGGAACAAGCCGCTTACTTCCGGTGGTTTCAAATGTGTCTGCTGAATGCGCCATGCAGCCCCTTATAGTAGAGATCGGTGTCCAGAAGGTACGCACTTAGCAGCAAGGCCATCACAATGGCCGCTCATGTGGCATCAGTGCAACTCGCAGCCGGGGCTACGAGGTAATGGGGCCGATCAAGCAACTTCAAAAGCGCAAGTCACTAGGCTTTTTTCTGTTCATGATTGGTTCAGCGATGATAGGACGTGCAGACATATGACGAACACCATGATGGTGCTTCTTTGACCTTGTCTCATTGGTCCTATCAGCATTTGCTGCATCTGCAACAAGTCACAAGATATCTGCCCTGAATCCGCGCTGCTTTTGTACATCTTTGATTTTCCGAAGCGCAGGTGGTAAACCATTTGCCCTCTCCCCCCTTCTTTGTTTAACAGGCGCCGAAGTGTGGAACAAGTGCCTGAACCAGAAGGCACTGGCGAACTGCAAGTTAAAGATTCCGGAACCTAATCCGAACTTGGACACCGAAGCGGACAGGGACGCTGATTTCTGCAGGTGATGAGTTCACTTCCTCATCAACTATTGCCGCCCGCAGAGCCGAGAAAGCAACGCTTGGTCACGGTCTTCTAGAAGATTCCCGTTCATTCTCTCACCAGACGTAGCTTTCCCTCTGCTTTGTTATTCCCGAAAGTGCCAGTTCATCCTCGCCCCGAGCGCGCGACGCTCGAGCCTTTTTTGCCGAACTTTCGAGATAGTGACGCACGGTAGATAAGCAGCTACCCGCGACCTTGTCGAGTCAGTCTCGCTAGCGCTCTGTAGTGCCGCCGCATCGCCGCCCGCTTTTCTGCTGCCTCGACGCTCTTCGTTACTTATTTTTGTTGGCACAAGTTCGCCAATTAATCCTTTATCATTCAGTTCAATTTTCGCCTTCTCGTCGCCTTAATTCGTGACACTATAGTCCCATATGAACGACAAACAGCAACAACCTAACTCATGCTAAAGCTTGCAAATGAATTCGGTGTATACGTTGGGCGGGCTTGCAATCAGTCGGTGCTCGTGAGGTACGTGATAGCACGTCTGTCAAAGCACGGCCGTACTGGATATGCGCTCGCTGTCTTATCGGCCTTTCCGTTGAAGCATGACAGCGCTTATGGTTGTATAATGGGGCTCTGAAATATTTCGCTGGAAGTTCCACGCTGGGCGGTCGCGAGCTGCACAGTAGGGCGGCCGTACGAGGTCAACTTTCTGTGGCTATGCAGTCGAGCCGTTCGACTCACCTTGCTCAGTCTGCCCACAGTCCTCGTGGAGAGCAAACACATCTGCCTTTCGTTTTCTGCTTTTCGGAGCAAATGCCAACTGCTTCAAAACGCGCTCTCTTCGGGCTTTTTTGGGCGCAATGGGTCCGTCGAAGACCCATTGAATATCGGGAGTACGGCTCCAAGGACTAGCTTCCTTATGTGGTATCCCGTTACATAGTGACCCAGTTTAAAGTGCCTAACACACACACAATAGTTCCCAACAGGGTTCTTCTTTGGTGTCCTCTTTTTTACGCGGTGCTTAGCGATTCATCGCTGGGTATAGCTGGTGTAAAGAGACACCAGAAAACTTCCCCGATGTCGAGTTGCCATACGGGACTAAACAGAAAACCACTGCCCTTAGAAAATGGTCAATGAATTTCAATTGAGTTTCTAATCTATTCCTATAGAATATATAAGAAACTCAATAGAAGCTCATTGATAATTTTTGTAAGAGTGAGCCTTGCGAAACAGTCCCACAGAAAAAAAGTATATATATATTTTTTTTCGTGTACGTGATTAAAAAACTTCACGCTCGCAACGCTGCATGCGCCGCACGCGCAAGACTTCCCAGTATAAAAGATTCGAAGTAAATAGCCAAAATAAAGCTTTGACGAACGCGCGTGCAAGATGCCATTTGTTTTATTTAGGTTTATGCTTCAGAACAGATACTGCTGCAGACGCCGGCACGTGTGGCACGTGGAACACCATTCCCTGAGTTCTCCTTGATGCTTCGGTGAATTCGCAATATGTCTATTAAGTAGATTAGTTATCAATAGGCACCATTTTCAAGATCAGTACTCTAGGCAGTGAATCAAAGTTCCTGAAAGATTTGCAGCTGTGCGATATCTGCGTCAGCCATGTCTACGCTCGCACCGCCCTCTCTTTGTCGTCGTTCCAAGCGCTTGCGTACTATAGTTTCCTTTCCTTCCGCTCTCCCGGGGTGGCGGTCCCGTCGCGCGTGTCTACTTTCCGCCGGCTCCTCGGGGCGGGTCTGTGTCGTGTGCTAAACAGCTTCGCTGGCCACCCACCCTGATAGAGTGGAATGGTTAATGATTTTTCAACACCCTAAGTGAAAAAAAAATTTGTCGAAAAATGTACAACAAAACAATATTAGAGTTATATTTACGGCGCGAAACGAATTTGTAGTTGGAGCCCGCGGGAGCCCGAGGAAAAAATGCCTACTATTAGTCATGTGGTAAAGCTGTGCGCCGCCACGCTTCACCGTCGCCGTATAAGTTAAGCAGAAAAAACGTTATCGACAAAACGGACACCGCGCGGGGGTTTTCATAGCAACAGCCCAGGACGCTATGACGTGGACCTATGTCAAGCCCCCACGTCACAGCAACAGCGCAAGTTAGTGTGGAAACTTCCGCACGGCGCCCGTTTTTATGACATCCTTTTTTTCATCTAGGCTGTTTAAAAGAAATTTTTGTTTGCATATGTCCTTTATGAAAAGTTGGGTCGCAACGCCCCCACGCAGAGAAATGCGCATGCTTTCTCCTATTACGAAACAGTCCGCATAAAAAACAATGAAAAAAAGCGCGCGAATGTAATACATTTCGCCGTCAAATTTAGCGGGAACTTAGCGTCACCTGATGGCACGGCGTCACGCGACGTCATGGCTTCACGTGACGTCACAGTACGACACGGGCACCGTCCGCTGACCTGTAACGGGACGTAAGCCCGCTGAATTTAAGCACGGTCAGTGTTTGTGTAGAACTGTGCAGCGTAATGGTGCGCACCGCGGCAAGTAACCATGTTTTTCCTCAACAGGATAAGAGAAGAGACGCTCAAGTGCGAACTGGCGGCGGGCTCAGACTGCCCTGCCTCTGCAAGCGCGGCCGAGAAGGCCCTGTACGATCTTCGCGCGATCGAGCTCGACTTGCTCAGATGCCCCCGGCCCAAGATCGACGGCTACGGCGGCAGCGGCTTCAGCACGACCCCCGCCATCCTCGTCACGCTGTCAGCCTTGTGCGTTGCGCTGCTTCCCGTGAAGCAGACTCTTCTCCGGTATTTGAATTAGAACGTCGGTTCGAGAGCAACCAGCGATACTCAAAGCACCCCTTATAGACCGACACTCCGTCTACAAACTAAAAGTCGACGTTTGCTCACACCACGGGCAGAGCGCGCGCGCAGAAACCAGAAAGCGAAGCACTTGGGGAGCGCGCGGGGGTGCGCTCCCCAAGTGTGCTTCCCACGCGCAAGGCCGGCGATCTGAACGCGCGAATGAAAACATCCGCGGCGTCGCATCGGCGCCGGCCTTGCGCCTGCGATCCGGTCATTGGACGGAATTAATTTTGATACTCAAAACTAGTCAGAAAGAGATGGGTGGATATAGGCGTGCGAAAAGGATTTAGCGGAAAGCGTCCAATAAAAGTGGGTCATTTTGTGCACAGACAAGGTTTCTTCTGTTTGCTTTAACTGCGCGTCATACCTGCGGGTGAAACCTTTAATTATTTACGTATGTCCTTGTCTATAGCTTGTCCGCGTCGTAAGAGATTTCTTTGTTCTGGCTGAAGCCCACTTTTTGCAGGAATCCTGTAAAATCTCTTAGGGAAAATACCTTAGAAAATTATTTGTTATGGTCGGTTTATTTTCGGGTGAAAGTAGGGAAGTTACCGTTGTAATTATTACAACAAAAAATGTGTTTTTATCTTTACTTTTATTCTAACTGCGTTACTTTTCCATAAGACTAGAAAGAAAAAAAGTCGAAAATTTCCCCACCCCCAAGTTTATTACAGGAAGTGCAAGTAACTTGTTGACCATCAGTAGAAGGTACGTGAATGCAAATCAGTGCTGCGAAATGCGCCCCCCCCCCCCCCCCCCCCCCCCATATTCCATTCCAATTCGATTACGGGGAATTAGAGTTTCGGACAATTCAATTCCTTTCAACTCCTCGGGATGGAGACTCTGGGCCCATTCCCACTCCTGAGATGACTAGGGGGATCGCTGTCCGAGATTCCAATTTCGAACGTCGTCGAAAGCGCACGCGGAATCATGAGCTTCGTTAGAGCTAAGCGAGCGTCCCTGCTTGGACGCAGTGATAGGGTTTTGGATCTTCCTGCTGATTATCGGTATATTCTGCCGACGCTACCGACGAATGAGTCTTCGAAATGTACGGCATTTCTGCACGCTGATATCGGAACGCGGCCGTACCGCATTGAAGATTTCAGGGAACCTTTGCTGCAACTTGGCGTTCTGAGCGACGTGACCGGAATGGGGGTGTTCCAGATGGGGCACGTTTGGATTGTCCGCCTCAAGTCGACTGCTGCCAAGGAGAAACTGATGATGTCTGGCAAGTTCAAGGAAAGGAGGTTGGTGTATTTTGACGGACCCTGATCGACGAGAGGTCCGACTCGAGCTTCACTGGGTGCCTTTCGACGTGCCCAACGACGCTCTGAAAAGGGCACTGGAGGAGTTCGGCGTGATGAGAAAGATAACCCGAAAAAAATGGCACAACGACGGGTTTGACGGCGTCGAGTCGTCGACCCGAGTGGCACGGCTGTCACTGAAGGAAGGCGTGACGCTGGAAAGCCTGCCTCGCCAGCTTCGGTTCACCGGAGGCCCTGTACTTGTGGTTGTTCCAGGACGTGCACCACTGTGCCTTCGGTGCAAGCTGTCTGGACACATTCGCCGTGATTGTAGGGCGCCTCGCTGTAGTGAGTGCCGTGGATATAGTCACGAACGCCAAGACTACGTTCGATCCTACGCTCGTGTTGCAGGACGACGCCAGGCTGAGGAAGACACGAACGAGCTTGTGATGGACGAACAAGAGCCGGAACAGGCGGCGGCGCCCTCAACGGAAGCGTCTGTAGCTTCGGCGACTTCAATGGTAACAGTAACCGCTAGCAAGGATTGTGAAGGGAAACCTGACGGAGAAAAGGAGCCTTTCGTGGTCACAGCGCCAGCCGAGACGCTGACCGCGAAGCTCCAGGACTAGGTGCCTAGGGCGTGTTTTATGGTTTGTTATGGCTGACCATAAATAGCCATACACGTTGATAGCTTGCCTCAGGATTTTCGTAAACGCCCATAGAACATTTGTGTTTGGGAAGGTTCATAATTATCAGAAAAAACACAGAGGTCCCACCGTTGTATGAGACTCACCGGTGGAAATCCTGAATATAATCCGCGATTGGCGATTTATACAGTGTTGTGTCAAATACTCAACGAAGGTATTTAAGATAATATACTAAATACCCATTCGGAAATGTATTTACTGTAGTACTGAAATTACCTTTAGTACGAACTATCTAAAGTAAACTACAAATACTTTGAAAATGTAATTGAATTGCATTCGAAGGTGCTTGGGAATTTTTCCGAGCTGGTAAATAAGAATAAAAAGTTAGAAAGGGGTGCTCTATTTTTTATGACTTCATCGATAATCACATTTTGCTGTGATCTTCATGACCTTTAAGATGTGCCGTAGCTGCTATAATTGAAGTTTACTCAGAATTAATTCGTGACATGCAACATAATGCGTGCCGAAATATTTTACGAACGAACGGGACTCATGTATTTTGCCGAGCTTTAGTTTGACGGCAGGCTCGGCTCATTACGCTTTCAACAATAAGTTTGTAATATGCCCCCCGCGATTCTGAGGACTTGACATGTTGTCCGGCATTGCATAGTCATAACAGCCGCTTTAAAAGTTGACCAGACAGTCAGACTTGTTGATGAGTAGAGGAGTGAACAACACACGTGCACGCGCATGAGAAACATCGAATTCGAGGACAGCAGCCTCTGTCGCTGGTTAACAACCAGGAGCGAGTACTTTTGTCCTTACAGTCAAAAGCAAGAAGGACCATCTTTACCTTCCAACTGTCAAAAAAGAAGGAAGGTCAAGAGGAAAGCAAAATGAACACAGGAGAGTATCCACAAAACCGCTTCTAAACACTCTTCCCCTGCCCCCTTCTGCACCAGAGTAAAACCGTTCTTGACGCATTGAGGTCAAGATGGTCAAGATTCCTGAAAAAGAATCCACTAGTTCATCAACGACCCCACCTGGCGGAAATTGGTTTCGATGATTTTGAGGATGAAACATTGTCCGCATTCGGGGGGAGATCGAAGAAATGCTTTTGAAAAAGCTTAGGAGCAAACGTTAAGCCAAAAAGTGTTTATTTTGGCTTGTGTGTCACAATGAGATCTAAGGAAACCCAATCTCGGTCACCCCAGCTCAATAAAGCCAGCCGGGTCTAGATTCTTCGGGCGAGAGAGTTCCTGTGCTCGCATGAAAACGGGTTCGCGCATTTTTATACTGAACGCCATCAACCGACGATCTCCGAAAATGGTTCATTGAGATCGTCCCGAGCTTTGGCGTCACAATCCTGCGCTGATGGAACCTCTCTAGCTCAAGACAAAAGGTGGAGTCTGAGTGTAAAATCCGCATGACTTCACTAGCACTTGGCTAGCTCCAAGAGTGACGTGCCATTCTAAGACAGCTTGGAAAAAAAGTGGACTAGAGGACAACTGGGCAAGAGGACAAGAGGCGGGCGTACTTGGAGCTATCTATTTGGTCTTTTGTTTACAATTGGATACAGTGTTTTGGTCGTGCCTTGTTTTCTGTTGTGTTGGGTCGCTTGGCTCCAAGATTGCAATTGGTTCAGCTTTACCCTGGAGTCTGACGATCCCTAGTTCCATAGATTGTTCCGCAATTTTTTTTACAAGGTTGCAAAGTTTATTTGAAATACTGAGTACAAGATAGTGAGAAATGTAATTAAGATACAGTAGCAAATAAACCAGACTAAATGAATTTGCAAGATACCAAAATATTACCAAAAGAATTTGAAATACTCTATCTTGTTAAGAGGATTTGAGATTGGCACTAGTCTGCTTATACCTTGGTAAATTCGACATTTCGAAATTAGCAGCAAGGCTATGCGCCGAAAAAGTGTGTGAGAGAAAGAGACCGAGAGAGAAAGAGAGAGAGATATTAAGACAAGAGAGATGTAGACTAGAGAGCGCACTGGCGATAGAACGCTGATCCCTGATTGAAACGATTAGTGGGTAGATGCAGACTTGGGCCCGCTATTCGAAAAAAAAATTATTACAATTACAATTACTTGACTTAAAATGCAACTCATTACCGTTACAAATTACTTGCTGTAAAATGTAATCGATTAATTACTTCGTTCCTTTACTCGATTACTTCTCCGTTACTCCAAAGAAACTCACAAGTTACATTCAATGTTTACGGCGTGCTTTCGGGGCGAGATGTATTGCCGCATCTAATATAAAACGCGGATTAAATGCACTCAATATAATTTGTCACATAAGGTTAGGGTAAAACCTTTGAGAAGTCGAACCTATAAAATAATAAATGACAAAGTGGTATTTGAGATAAATTGGTCCTGCGCTGAACGACCGAGAGAGAGTTGCATCACATGCACATACGACGAATACATTTGGGCATTACCCTTACTAACACTGGTGGAGGCCACATACACCACTCGAAATAATCCTAGGTCAGTATCGGCGGACCGCAAAACACTGCTTCCACATGCTCGCACTGATTGCTTCATGCTACTAAAGGGCTAGTTTTGATGATTTCAACGGTTTAGTAGTGATAATAAAATGCTCTACTTGCTTTTCGGTAGGTTTTGAAGACTGCTGCTTGATGAAGATGGCTATCCGACCGAGTGATCTCTTTTTTCTTGTTCACCAAATTGATATATTATTGCAGAAACTCACAGCTTAATGGAATATGCTGTTAAGAAATATTTCAACGTATTATCATCAGTAGTCAGCACGGGTTCACGTCTCCCACACGTTTACTGCTGCTCTTTGTTGTTTCAACTGGAGTGTCCATGTCAGCCACCGCTTGTTCACTGCATCCCTTTCCCCAAAGTTTCCGTCTAACTTCCGGCATACACAGTCCACTCAAGAACTTCCACCGGCCCCAACTGAAGCTTGCTCCAATATTCTCATTTCTTAGAATTCGGGTTAGAAATCTCACGCCATTTCGGCAGCGCTCCCCTGCCTGCTCACTACCTGCCGTCTAAAGTGACGAGGGTTTATGGCCGAACTTCATTTAAACTGACTGCAGATTTTATAATACAATTTCGCTGTCACAATAAGCTGCCGGTGTCACATCGCCGACGCATCTTATCCTTACTCGAACCCGCTAGTGGAAAGTCACGTGGCACAAAGCACATGGCTGATTAGCCTGCAGTGTTTAGCTTTTACAACGCTCAGACGTAAACTGGGGGCCAGGCCCCACGCTGTTCTTTGTGTGTTTGCGGGGCAGGCGCGCTTAGGTGGAAATATCAATAAACAATAAAAAAACAAAAACAAAAAAGCTCGAGGTACACCTAAGCACTTCTAATAAGTTGTGAATGCGAAAGCATGTACGCCGCTCTTCCTCTTCCTTATTTCATCTGCTGCGTACTTCCGTCGACG